TGTGGATAATTTTAAATCTCGATCTTTGTCTGAAATTAATTCTATCAAAAATTGATTTTTCAACCCTGTATACCACCATTCTCCATGTAAAATTGAAAAATCGTCGAAAAGAATTAATCCACAATGCTTTTCAATATAAAAATGGTAGCATACGCTATAAATTTATTACTTTGGGATACCATACGGCATATTTTGTTAATAGTGAACAAAAAGGTAAAACATGCTACACAGAGGAACAAGTGATCAGTATGCTGGAGTTTCTTATTGACAACAAATTTGTTGAATTTGGAGATAGGCATTTTCAAAAAATTGTCGGCATTCCTATGGGAACGAACTGTGCGCCTCTCCTTGCCGACCTCTTCTTATTTTCATATGAGTCGGAGTTCCTTCATACACTTGTCAAAAACAAGAAGATCAAAGAAGCCAGATCATTTAATTTCACATTCAGATATATTAATGATGTTCTTTCCATTAAAAATCCAAACTTTTCTGATTGGGTTCTATTAAAATATCCTCCAGAATTAGAATTAAAGCAACAGCAGATACGGCGGTTTCCTCCGCCTCATTTTTAGACTTATATCTCGAATTTGACATAAGCGGTCATCTCAGTACCAGAATCTATGACAAACGAAACGATTTTAGTTTTGAAATTACCAATTTTCCCCACCTTAGTAGCAACATACCAACTTCACCTGCATATGGGATATACATTTCCAAACTCATGCTGTATTCAAGAGCTTGCAGCTGCTACTCAGACGTCACCAGTGTCTGAGCAGAAAGTTGATGAACCAAGGCTATGTCAAAGAACGTCTCGTCCTTTTTCTAAAAAAAGTTCATCGGAAGATTCCAAGACCTTGTTGATAAATATTCCGTATCAACTTCACAACTAATACATGGTCATACATGATGGTCTTGAACTATAGATTTTAGGCACTGACGTTGTTAATCATCTTAATTACGTGTTATAGTGTTCATTTATTTGTCTTTGTAAATTATTAACCTTTATTGTTTAGTCCATTTTTGGTAATATACTTTTGGCGTGGCTCGGTACTTATGCATCCCGCCAATGTGTTGTTGTGCTGTTGTCATCATTTTTGTATTCTTGTCTTTCATTTTTGCTTATGTGCTTTGTCTATATGCCATTTTGTTTTTCTTTGTTGACATATTTGTTTGTTTTTTACAGTGATTAAGATTATAACACAATGTTGACTGCTGTACCCCTATTTTTAACATTTTTACCTATCATATCTGTTTGTTTTTGTTCATACATTGTTGTCAATATTATGCGACTGTCATACAAGTGAGATTTAGCTAGCTTTATAAAACCAGGTTTAATCCACCATTTTCTACATAAGGAAATGCCTGTACCAAGTCAGGAATATGACAGTTGTTTTCCATTCGTTTGATGTGTTTGAGCTTTTGATTTTACCGTTTGATAAGGGACTTTCCGATTTGAATTTTCCTTGGAGTTCGGTATTTTTGTTAGTTTACTTCTTACTATGCACATCAATTGGACAGATGCAAATATAAATATTCCAACGTCAAGTACATATTGTTTTATGCAAATTCAAACACATAAAATGTTTATACTCATTCTTACAAGAGAAAAAGAGCAACGAATATATAGAAAGTTGCAATATTTTGATTAATTCTCGTCATACTAACCACTTGTGAAATTCAGGTCAGCGAAAACAAAATATGAGGAAAACAAAATATGACTTACTTAAATAACCATTCTATTCAAGGTCATGAGATTCTTTATTGAAGAATTTACGAGACAAAAATGTTGACAAGTATTATAAAAAGATGAAGTCCCACTACCAAGACTTGTCAAGTGTCTGATTTGATTTGTAAATTACAATTGTACAACAATATTTTATATTATTAGTTAATGGCCTTCGAACGGTTAGCTACATAAAAAGTAAGGCGTTGATGATACTTCAAAGACGGCATTGAGCTGTCAAATATCAAATGAGATGTTGTTGTCGTATACGTGTAGCCAAAAAGGTGACACGGTAGAACTCGTATCATTTTCATTTTTGAACTACGCATGTGCATTTGAACTATCAGACGACCTCTAGCGGAGCAGGAACTGATAGCTCTTCCGGGACACCCGAGTTTACCCTCGGTTTATGGCTGGGGATCGTGTTTCCTTAGTCTTGATGTTTCTGGTTAGTGTTTTGTTGACTGTTCTTTGTCCTAAGCCATGGTGCTGTCTGTTTTTATTTGACTTATGGATTTAAATATCTTGGAATTTTCTCCGTCCTTTTTCAGACCCGAGGGTATAATCCGGCTAGTAACCTACTTATAAAATATGGCTTTAACTAAAGCTTATGCTTATTTAAAGGGGACTACAAACGGTGTGATTGTTTTGATAAATGTGTTATCGTTATATTCTTCCTATGCATTTAGCTTTCTATGTTAATGGACATGAGAATGTAACTAAGTTTAAAAATTTCAAAGATTCTCGTAGAAAAATTGTAAATAATGACAATTAGTTCTGTCTGATGAAGTTCCCAAGTAGACATTTTAAAGTGTTTACCTTGTACAGATAAAATGCGTCTAACGGATGGAGCTCTTGGGAAAATGTGTCTAGCAATTGAACATTAATATTAAGTGAATGTGAAAATATGCGGTTTTATCTATTTTATGTCATTTTCGTGTCGTTGATGTACTTGTTTTTAGTATTTAATAATTGTTCGTATTTCAAAGTATTCCAACCGAAATAAGACTATTTTTGTCGTTCTAGATAATCTGATTTATTCTTCATGATATAAGTATCCGCTGGTTTCGATTTATATGTAAATGTTTCGTGTTACTGACATAACAGTTTATTATTTGTTATTAAAGACATAAATCTACAGCTATACCATTAGTGTCTCGCAAGGTTCCCTTACATACTCATTAAAACTCATTCCTTATACTGGAATATTTGATCAAGAGTGAAAGACTTTATGTTTAATGCATATATATATATATCTACACGTATACTTATTTTTAATATAACTTTATGTCCCTGTGGTATCTTTGGTATCTGCTTCATATATTTTATTGGCAACATTCTGTTTCATTTTTCGTTGTGAATTAAAAGTCCTCGATCGAAATTGTGGTGGGGAGAAATATTACATTACAATCGCTAGCCTTTTATCTAATTTATACATATATATATAGAATGTGTTTTTCTAGAAACACATATTTTATAGATATAAGAAGATGTGGTATAAGTGCCAATGAGACAACTCTCCCTCCAAGTCAAAGTTTATAAAAGTAAACCATTATATAGGTCAAAGTAAGGTCTTCAACACGGAGCATTGGCTCACACCGAACAGCAAGCTATAAAGGGCCCTAAAAATACATGTATAAATATAAAAATAAAAAGATGTGGTAATATTGCTAATGAGACAACTCTCCCCAGAGACCAAATGACATAGAAGTTAACAACTATAGGTAATCTTACGGCCTTCAACAATGAGCAAAATCCATACCGCATAGTCAGCTACACAATGCCCCGAAGCAACAACGACAACCACTGAATAATATGCTTCTGACTTGGGACAGGCACACATAGAATGTGGCGGGGTTAAACATATTTGCGGGCGCACACCACTCCCCTAACCAGGAACAGTGGTGAAACAGCACAATATATGAACAAACTGTAAACATCAGTTGAAAAGGGCTTAACTCATCAGATCGATACAAGGCAGAACAACAAGTAACAAAAACACAGACCGGACGTGGCAGGGTACACATCCCCACAACAAAAAAGACACTAAGTACAGATCTGAGAGTACTCGCAGTTATTGACAGCTAGTTCAAAGCCAATAACAACTAATAAAAAAAATCATGTATCTAAGACTAAAGTACAATATTTTATAACTGTCATTTGTATTGGTATATCTAAATTTTACAAATTAAAGTTGATGACGTCGAATGTATTTTTTCCATAACTGTGCTTGTATTACAAATGTTTATTACTTAAAAATGGTTTGAAATTGGTGAAAGTATGTGAAAACCTTACATAAGCGTTTGTCCCGAAATGCGTGTTTTCATTTCAAGCTTTCCCATTCGGTCTAGTTCATGATTAGAGAATTTACTTGTGCCGATGGTTTATGAATTTGATGACATCTATGGGTAAAAAAATGAAACATTTACCTATCTGCTATAACTATATGATCATAAAATTGCCTTATATGACCCATCAACGTATTTGAACATGAGTAGCACGGATGGTGTCAGTATTGGAACAGGAACTGTTAACATCCGGAGCACCTGAGTCTCCCGATCTTTATTTTGTTCGGTGTTGTTTGTGTTGTTTAACCTTTCACATTGGTTTTCTGTGTAGTGTTTTGATATTGTTGTTGATTTCGTGGTTTTATTTTGCCATATCGGTGCTGGTGTTTTTTTTTTGGGACTTGTGATTGCCCCCTTGGTGTCTTCTGTCTGTTTTTGTATAAGTGAACATTACTTCTCCGTTACATATTTAGATACAAGTACTTGTAGGTAGGTGTAAATCAAACAGATTAGTTTGCGCTTTTCAGCAATCAAACTTGGCGCTTTTGATACATATGAATTTGTAGTTAATTGTGCATTTCACTCAGTTGATACAAACACTGATCATGATTGCAAGACTATCGTATCGAAGCGTAAGGGGGAAACAGAAATATTTGGGAAAATTTTGGTACAAAAGAAAATTTTTGAAAAATAACACTTTTCCAAACAAATTAATAAGAATCTCTAAATTTTATCTTTTGTACTTCTTTGGCAGAAATCTTATATTTTGAAATGAATGATAACAATAAAAAATAATCTTATTTTTTGAAATGAATTTTAACAACTAAAAGACACCTGAAAATTGAGACGAACAATGTAAAACAAAGTCCAGTCTATTGACAGACAAGATTTGAAGCTGAAACGTTTTTAGAGACAGTATTTTAACAAAACATTGTTTACGCAAGTATATCTATCACGTATTTTAGAAGTGAAATTAAAATAAAAGTCCATCTGGAATAACATTTTATGCATTAAATACAATAAATACATTTGTGAAGTCAAAATACAATAAATACATGAAACAGAAAAAACAATTGTCATAGCAACAGAACATTTTTATTAATACATACAATACATTCACCAGCTGTATTTGAAAATGGAATATAAATGTAAATAAAAAATATATAATACTGATTTTTAGCCTTTTAGTACATCTTCTATGTGAATTGGAATATATCTACACTAAAGTTATTCGAATTGCAACTTAATCATTTATATAATCCCAAAGAATACAACTGATCTGTAAAAGATCAAAATCATTGCTTCAACTGATTTAGGGGATTTATTCTTCTGATGTTTCAGTCTCGTTGAAATCTCGTTCGGGAATTATTACGAAAACATGTGAATACAAGTGGAAAATATCAAGGAATTTAAAAAATATTATAATAAAAATAAACTCTGTGAAAAAAATTGTGTACTTACATTATGTAGTTTTTGAGAGATAAAACTTTCAAATTTTATAACCAATCCGGTCAGTGTCATAAGCCAAAATGTGGAGAGGGCTTACATAGGCTATGCCTGTTGCCCAATCCAATTCAATTTATTTGAATAAAATACTGTTTAAACTAAAATGTTGAGAAAACGGGCGAGGGTACAAAGAAATGATTTTACCAAAAGTATGTACATCCCATATCAAATCTTTCTTTTCAAATTCTTAGATATGTATTTTTTCAATCATTTATAAAGAAGTTTGAAATAATATGCTTTTTGTTCTAAAATAAAAAGAAGAGAAAAATCCCAAATTAATTAGATAAAACTTTCTTATATTAACACCAACCTACAGTTTTCTTAAGATAAATTTATTCAGATTGGTCCACTTCATCTTTAGTGAAAGTATGAGAAAAAGTTTAATCGTGAAACTGTGATTTTTTTCATGATAATAGCCCCCCAAAAATGTGTAAAATTGATGAAAAATGGGAAAATCAATAAAAAAAAGTGGTATTTTCAAATGGCCGTAGCAAAATAAGAAGTACACCACCGTATGATTTTTTCTCCATCAATTACTTTCTTTCAGTCATATAAACCCAAAAATCAGGTTAAGAAAAGTTTAATTCTTGAAATTTTTGGCTCCTCAGAGGTGTACATCCTTAAGGTAAGCTATTAACCATTCTGCACTCTACTTTAACATTAGATAAAATCAAGGAAAACTATAGAGTCAGATCGACCGCACATTATAATTCCCATTGATTTTTCTCCGTGTTTGTTTTCAAATAATCCTCTGATTCATGCAGACACAGACACGCTCCTCAGGGCGTAATTTCTTTGATATGTGGTGACTTTCGGTTATAAAAATACTCTAACCTTTAACAGTTATAATGGTATTAGGATAATTCTTTCCTTAGGTTGAAGTTTTCCATCATCGGAAACCAGGAGCACTAACATGGTAACTTAATGGTAAATATTAGCCTTTGGTTAAAATTGTCCCTGCCAGATTTCAATTTGACTATTAATAATTATTATATTCAAACATACTTTATAAAACAAATAATGTCAAGTTGAAATTGTGCTGCCCTTTCAAAAAGAGGAAGCATTTAGCATGTATTGTAATGGATTACTCCACAGGCAAAATCATGTAAACTTTAACAATGATGGTTGTCACATACGCGAAACATAACAACGATTGTTGTCACATACGCGAAACATAACATCGATGGTTGTCACATACGCGAAACATAACAACGATTGTTGTCACATACGCGAAACATAACAATGATGGTTGTCACATACGCGAAACATAACAACGATGGTTGTCACATACGCGAAACATAACAACGATGGTTGTCACATACGCGAAACATAACAACGATGGTTGTCACATACGCGAAACATAACATCGATGGTTGTCACATACGCGAAACATAACAACGATGGTTGTCACATACGCGAAACATAACAACGATGGTTGTCACATACGCGAAATGGTGCTATGATTATTGTGTACAGTGAGCGAATAAGACTTATTGAGGCCACGCAGACGTGTAAGTTCTAACTGTCTATAACCAGAGTTTCTATGCCACATATATTTATCATCTGAAATATGAAAAGAAAAAACACATGTCATTTAACAGGAACTGATGAAAGGATAACAACTTAAAGTATTTTATAGAAATGGTTGTTTATCTGTTGTAATGACATCTTTCGGGGTCTTTTAAGTTTTTAGGTGATTTCAGATTTTTAGTCATCTCTCTATTACAAACAAATGGTCTGTACGGTACGGAAGTGGCGCCTAATTATCTTTTGTGATCATACGTTATTTTGTTATAGATGTCGGTTTTGAAACCTTTAGTGTTGCTGTCTCATGCATCTAGTATATATATATATGTAACATTTATTCTCACACACGTCATTTAGGTCATAAAACCACTTGAAACTGTTGTCAAATTGCTAAAAGGAGAAAAAGCTATATGATTTATTTATAATTTTAAGGTATAGATTATGAACTGCTAGTCGAAGATTATGCTGCATGCATCTAATAATAAAAAAAGAGCCTTAATTGTAATTCAAATAAACAGGTCTTCGATTATCATCATTCATATTTGTCACTTTGTTTGCATACCGAAGATTTTTTTTTTTGCGCTGCTTTGAAATTTGCCATGATATGTTAAAATATTATCGTTTAGAAGAAACTTAAAACGATTATACAAATAAATATACTAACCAACAATAGAATGTTTAGTATCGGTGGACCTATAAGATGCACCACCAGTGAAAGACTTTCGAAATCTACAGGCTCTTTTTCGAACATTTCCTAAAAAAGTCGCCGTTGAAATTGTATACAAAACTGGATTTATTGCGGAATTTAATGGAAGTACAAATACTGCTATCCATGCATACACCTGTAAAAAAACCATCAGTTCAATGAACCTAAGTACCAATATGATGATAATATCTTACATACATTGCCACAGTTTCATCATTTCACATGGGGTCTCTATTAAATGTGGGGTTTTATATATAAATTGGTACTCGTTACTGGAAACATTTAAAACTGTCCCATTTAAAAGACTTGTGATGTATTTACAGACTGGTTGTAATATATATATACAGAAGATTAAGTGAAAACGTTGAAGTATAATGTTACATCACAGTTTGTCAGTCGTTGTTAAGTCAAACGCAGTAAGAAATATCGTAGACATGATATATTGAATTTATAAGACGACAGCCGCAAATTTGATTATTATGTCAGTACTCACATTGATAAGTGACAAGGTAAGTAAATATCAATGTTGAAGCATTAAAGGGGTATTAGCTTCAATTGAGAAAATAAATTGAAGGATTTTTTTGGCTTCAAATATTAATAAAAGTGGAACATTTAATTTAAAATTCGCTATAAACATCCATCTTGATTTAGTTCTGTAAAAAATAAGCTCAATATCGTCGATGATATATATTATTGTCTTGCAAGTCAATAATTCGATCTAATTTGATAATTAGAGATTGGTTGCGCATGTGATCAGCATGTTCAGTTATGAAACAGAAAAAAATGTTATCATTGAAAAATGAAATAAGGGAGCCATCAGGAATAACCATTTCGCTGACTGTTTCGGACCATACAAAATCGTTTTTAAACCGGTAAAACGATGGTACCTATATATATTTTAATCTATGGCATGAAAAAAACCTAGGAACAAATCATCATTGTACTATTGTATATGCATGTTTGTCTATTTATAGTTATGGTAATATTGGGTCAAAGGACAATCGAAAGTCTTCAGAGGTCATCTCAGTTGTTATTTAGATAGCGTCGAGTCTACAATAATAACGAAATGCTAATACTTTGTCATGAATTCATTATTGTTTATTGTTTCCTTTGAAACTTTCGTAATTCTGGTAAATATTTAGTATGGTATAAATAAGAATAAAGAGTTTGAGTCACTTCGGTGGTACTGAATTTGGCAACTAATGTCCCTTTAAATGAAACAATGAAATTGTTTTTTAAATGCTTCGTTTTTTTGTAGACTTAACCTGCGCTGTTTTCTTCGACTGGTGACTTCCTACAATGTACTTAGTACCTTTACCGTACTGGTATGTAGTCCGACAGATGTAAGAGTGGAACAGGTGTAAACCCTTCCGGACGACCTATTTTAGTAGGGTGTCATTCTGCATTTGTTAACGTTGTGATATTGTTTACTATCTTTTGACCGTTCCGAATATATAAAAGGAAATTTCCAACAGTGAGTATAACTGGTAACGCTGGCTTTCGTCGTTCTCTCTGTCCATACATCTAGATATTTTAACGAATATACAACATGTTTTGTAATAAACGGTAGTAAATATGCGTATACATCATTTGGTTTTTGGTGGAGAGGTGTTTCACTGGGAATCATACCACATCTTCTTATTCTAATATTCTTAATATATTGTTATTCTTATCAGATTATTTTGGTTAGTGTGTTGTGTTGTTTGATATTTATATGGGTTCTACATTAAAGTTTGTTGTTGTTTAATCGAACTTTACGTAAGTTAGATTTTTAATTAAGTTTTATTCCTTTTGTTTTGTGGCGCGTAAGTATTTTGAACTGTTTATCGGATTCAAGTTATTTACGTATGCTATTAATTTCAAGGCGCAAGACACGTATTTGTGGAATAACCTTTATCCGATACACTTGAGACCACAAGTTGCGATAGCGAAAACTATAAAACGTTTGAGAGCATAAAAAGCATCGAAACATCCATCAAATTGAGAGTATTTAAACTAGATTATAATGCATTTTTAATGCGCACATAGACTAACTGATAAAGTAAAAACATCTTATGTTAAATTGAGCAATTGACGGTAGGTTTTATGATTTGGAACTTCTTTTGTCTAATTGTTTTCTATGTTGGTACTGTTAGGATTTTGTAAAGTCACTTGATTTCGTAAAAAGTGTCTAAATCGTTATGAGTAAATATTGGTTCTCAAAATATACAGAATCAGTAAATTGATAATTAGCCTTGATCAGAAATCTTGATCGATAAGAATCACTATACATACCTGTTGTGGAACGTGAGCACCACCAAGTGATGCAAATCCAAGTAAAATTATTGGTACCCAACACATAAAATCTGTCATCACTATTAGAGTCATTCGCTTGGCCATTGATTTGTCAGATAACGCTTTAGACTTTCTGACAGCTGTTGTAGTTTTTTTCGCCACAAAAAACATCCACAAATATGATAGAAATATTAAAAGAAATGAAACGAAATTTAACACAAGAAATACAAATACGGAGTATTCCCATCCTCCAACATGATCCGGTGTGATATGGAAGGCGAGACAAACGCCTGAGCGACCATAAAAGTTTTCAAAATACTCTATACCAAGTAGTGGGCATGCGGATAAAAAGACTACCAGTACCCATAAAGAAGGCATTACAATGAGTGCTTCTTTCATCCCTAAACGTTTCAGTTTTAACGGAAATATAATACATACTAAACGGTCTATAGTTATAACTGTTAAAGTAAATACGGATAATTCACTAGATAATGTAGACATAAATCCTGCAAATTTACACATTACACTTTCCCGCCAATATCTGTCATATATATAATAATTTCCTCTATAATAAGTATCCACTACAGCTATTATCATAAGGTACACACCCATGAAAAAGTCACCAATAGCAAGATTTGCTATAAGAAATGAATGAACCTGAAAAAAAAGAGACACATAAATACCGCTTTTGTTATTTAACTTGAACATATATGCATGGTAAAAATTATTATTCTATAAAATGAAGTCTGGAAAATACATTTTTATTAACTCGCTGATTATTTTTTTTATTAACCACTCGGGATTGCTTGTTCTACTGTTCGTTTGTTGTAAACAAAAATGAAAGATACAAAAGGGACATTCGTAAGTCGAAGAGTAAATGACAATAGCATTGAAAAAAAAACCCGAAAGACGACAAAAAGACAAACAAGTCCCGAAACACCAAAGAGAAAATTAAAGGCTGACCAACATTAACCCAATTAAAAGCTAGGGGTTATCTCAGGTGCTCCAAAGGGGCTATCGGACCTTGCTCCACATGTGAAACCCGTCGTGTTATCCTTATAAAATGCGTTGAAAAAGACCACATACGACAAAAGCACGACTGCAAGTAAAACAAAATGAATACTTAATAATATCCTATCAAAAAGATAAACAAATCCACTGATAAAAAGATATTATGACATCGCGAACACTCATATCGACGGTTGAACCTCCAAATTGATCTAATGCAACCAATCAAAGATAAACGCAAAAGCAAAATATTTTGAATATTGTTATTGCATGAAAAAAAACTCCATATTACAAAAATGTGCAACTGTTTGTTAATATTCTCAAATAAAATAAAAGAATATGTCTGAAGATACAAATGCCCCAGCTCCAGCTTGCTTTTCAAACGAAAATGGGGCGGACTGAAAGAAGGAAGGACGGAAAGATGGAAGAACGGACGGTCAAGGGTAAAACTTGCGGCAGGGGCATAAAAAGAACAGGATGACTTATCGAAGGACGCAAACTATAAACATCTTCTTTATTATACAAAAAGGAACCTTATTTTGATGTCACAACATATATTTGGATAAGTTAATATTATACTTATAAATTCATTTTATAAAGGAGATATAGGAAACAGACAATGAGATCGCAGCAGAACGACTTGATCTATACCTTCTTAAATAAGGGTATTGAGGGTATCTCCAAATGAGGCGATACTTACAAAAGAACATTGAATAAAACAATGGAGCATCTCATTGCCATTAAATAGCCTTCAACGCTCAATACGATATGTAAGCTCAAAAATAATAAAATTAATAGGGAAACAATTTAGGGTAAACGGTAATACGTTTTATAAATAATCAAGATTAAAGCAAATACCCTATTTTATTGATAATTAAATGCACTTACTTTTCCATTTTTAAAATCCTTTATCCTCCAGCCAATTACTAATAAATTTCCAAAGCATGCAAGGGAACCGAGAATCCAAATGCTTGTACGTAAGACAAAGTTCGACATCAAATCCTCACAAGACGAAAATTCGTCTGGTTTTGGGTAGCAATTCTCCACCGTCTTGACCATACAGCAGTAAGGAAACTCATCGGTATGTCTCTCAAAATAAAACAAAATACACAACTAAGCAACTAAATGATTATACCCTCAATTCTTTTAACATTTTCTTTTTTATTCTGGTTGATCGAAGCACAAGTTCACTTTCATTGTAAACATATATTGTCATAGTGCTAATTTATTTTATTGAAAATATTAGGGGATGTACCTATATCATTTCAGGGTAAGCATATGCTACACTTCATGTACATGTATTACCCATCACATACAATAACACATATCTCTTGCGAAAGGAAATAACATGTGTTTTCTTTTTAATTTTCAACAATAAAAAAGAGCTGATAAAGGTATAGTAACAATATCGAAGTTTATGGCAGTATTACGGAATATGTAAATGTTTGAGATCAATATATAATATCAAAATTAATATTCTACATACACGATATATATATATATATATTTCTAATTTCACTGAATTTAATCTCCACAGTAATAAGAACTTAAGGCCATACGATACAGTTTTGATCCCACGGTGAATTTTTGACGAAAGTTTGGATACAAGCTATTTTTGACCTATTCAATTCAAATATGTAATAAAAAGTATACCTACATGTGCTACTTTAGAGATAAATAGGGTCGAAATTTTAGACATTAACTGGAAGTTTGGTTTCTTGGACATTTCTATCCTTTGGAATGATATACCTAACTTTTTTTTGCTTCAAGAGATAAACGCAAGCGGATTTTTGTAAAAACATTTTGAATATCTCCTCTACATAAGTGTGCTTTGAATTTGTGTAATAATTCTTTGGAAATTGTTCATTTTATTCAAGGATTTGTATAGTAAGTTCTTACTATACAAATCCTTATTTTTATCAAATTTTCAAAATTTAGGTGGTTGAATATTTATCTTATTTAAGAAAGTTTCATCGGTGATTTGTTCATAAAAATTGGCAGAAATAATCTTCATACATAATCAAGCCAAATGTCGTTTTTAAAAAGAGGGGTCCATGAACTCGTTTTCAAGTTAAATCAGTCTGAATGATAAATCTCAGTCGCAAAATGCATCTTTTCTCGATATGTCACAGATTGACGTCGCGAAAAATAACATTTTACGTTAGCGACGTCATTACCCCCCCATGTAACTGTATCATATGCCCTTGAGTTGTTTAAACCATTCGACAAAACATGTAACACTCTAATGAAATACTTACAATGTCCGAAGATTTGGAAGACCATGAAACGCGTTTGATTCTATCATTATGATTTCGTTGTTTGAAATGTCTCTGCAAAACAAAGAATATAACTCTTCAAAATTGTGATATTTACCACTGAGTTCAGATATCTCGAAAAGAGTTTAGGTACATGGACTTATGACGCACAAACAGTAAGAAGGGTGTAGTGATATATCCCCGTTTTCGATTACAATTTGACAAGAGAACCAAATAACATTAGCGGTAGACAATTCATGTTTTGCTGTATTTAAGGTCATAAAAGTGTGTAAAAATTTAACAGATTGAGTCAAAGGAAACTGCATTTAGCAGACAGATATATTAAGTTAAAAAAAGCCTTCAGATAAAAAAATCTTGTCTTCTAAGATTAGAAAAAGACTATTTAAGATATGAGAATAAAAAAATGTTGAAAATTTGAAGACTTACAGTGTGAGCAGTTTCAGTAAACCATTTAAACCACCTCCTTGTATTATCTGGATTTTGTTGTATGACAAATCCCTGAATATTTAAAAAAAAAAGAGAAATTGAACAACAAAATACGTATATGACAGAGTTTATAGGCCATTAAACTTTTCATCATTTAACTTTTACAATTACGGCGCTCACAAGAGTTTATATACTGTATGTGTACTTTCCTCAAATAACCATAGCTATCTACTAATATAGTCACTATATTTCGTCACTGAAAAATGTAATAGATAGGCTTGCTGAATAATATATACTCAAACGTTTTGCCATCATAGATCATTCCAGATTTTTCATATAGACAACTTCGTTATTTGCTTTGGCGAAAACCCTTCAGTAGATAGAGAGCAAATGTAAGCAGCAAAGTGATTAGTAATATAAAATCTACAGAAAAGTCACATGATTCAAATCGACACCTGAGTCATTGACCTCGAATGACAATTTTCAACCATTTTGTCGTTTTTTTTGGCACTTACTTGAAGATTACATCGAAACCATTAATGGATAGAAAGAAACGATAAACACCACAATAATAAGAAAAACAAGATCTAGAAATAAGTGGAATGACGGAAATTGTCAATCAGCTCTCCATAAGAGTAATGGTAATTTGCACAATAACCATGTTTCGTGCTTTTTGCTATGTTCTTCAGATTTTTAATATATAGAGAGGAACTGTGAACAGCACAAACGATCAGTTGTTGTTGAACATAACTAAACATGTTAATCGACTTCTTAAAAGAGTTACAGTGACTGCACCTAAATGACAATGGTTGATTAATTTTATAGTTTTTTTTGTAATTGCCTTGAAAACTATAAAAGATAAAGAGAAGCTACAAATAGCACAAATGATCAGCAACACTATGTAAAATAATCTCCAAATGGATCTGGATCAAATCTGGTCATTTAGTTGATATTTTGTGTTGATTACCTGGTACAATAGAATATAGCAGTTAAGGTATTTGTTGACAAAAACGTTTTTCTATTTATTTAAAAGAGCCTGTGAAGTTTCATCTCTCATACATATGATTTTCTATTCAGTTATTCTACAAAGTCTACATAGAATAGTAGAATAAAATACAAACCTTAGCTAGGAGTTGATTAATTGCATATATTTCCACCTGACATCATTTCGGATTTTCGTTTATTTCGAAAACGTCAAGTTTACCTTGTTTGGGTAAAAACATGAATGTATGATAATTTCTTTCAGTGCGCGCCCATACGCACGGCTTAATGGAATACCTTCATCAGGTTCACTTAAGACAATACATATTGGAATATGATAAACGTTATGCGCATCAAAGCGAAAAAAGCTTAACAGAACCGCAAAAACAATGGTAAATCAACTATCCTAGAAACAGTTCGAGCATATACAATGTACATGTACACATTTCCTTGTTGACCGTTCGCCCGTTTTTCCTTTGACACCACCCTCTGGATTTCGAGTGTAATAAACCTTATTGGTTTGGTGCTTTCCACGTGTGACATACGCATCGAACACGGCAAATATTCTATATTCAGTATGCATTTATTCTGATTATTTATAGGATCATTTCAAAAGTCAGGTTTAATTAAGTATAAATTCCTAATACTCACAAGCTATACAGGCTACGTAAACCAAGGAAAGTTCCACTCTGCAGTGTAAGAAGTCTTTGATGACTCAAGTCTCTGAAAAGAAAACCAAACTCATTTTATTCTTCTTAATCTAAATTCAAATGAAAAAAATAACTACTCTGTTATTTTTCTGTAAGATGAATTGATTTAGGAAATGCAGGTAAAATATTCTTTTAATCTTTACATACGACAACAATAGTACTATCATGTAACGAATGTATTTATACATGAGAAAAATGAGTTGCTTAGCAGTTCTTCACAATTATTTATATTTGTTATAGCAATATAATTGCTGATATAATTACAATGTTTGCAGCTGTGAAAGTCCAACAAAGGCAGATGGGTAAATTTCCTCTATACCGTTTCCAGACAAATATCTGAAACAGGAAAATTAAATGCAATTTAAGTACTTTGAATTACATACACATTAACCGTAAATAAATTTATTCCATGGCAAAAATGCAAGCTTTAATTAAAAATATGCAAATTGCAGATTTATGTTTTCTAGAAAGAAACTGTATCTTTTATTTACGGTTTAATCCAATATTCTTATATTACATTAAAAACGTAAAACATAAGCTTGCTGACGGTTTAAATTATGTTTTAGCTGGCAGGAATTACTTTCAAAATTATTTGTATTCAAGATTAGTCTTCACCTGGTACGCTCAAATCAACAGGATTGGAAAGTAAAACGTGAAAATCACTTAAAAAATACTTACAGCGCACGTACACTAGTGAGTCCACTGAAAGAATCATTACCAAGTCTTCTTATCTGATTATCTTTTAAATTCCTATTACAGATAACAGATAACATCAATTATATTAGAACATGTAGAATGGGGTAAAAAATATGAATGCATCGTTAGAGAATACAACGCTGCACCAGGGTTGTATCTTTCGCATGTCTTTTACTCGTTAATAATGCAAAATAATATTACTTCACCAAGCGAATTCCATGTATGTTATCATTATCATTATCTTATATTATCAACATACATATAAATTTGACACGAAATTCGTCTGCAGTAAAATTATACAACAAGCATTCTAATACAAAAAATAAAAGGTAATTAATTGAAGTCTTATTTTCTAAATACACGTCAGCTTTTTTTTTTGACTGTAAGATGCTTTTTTAAAAGTTTAAGAGCATGTCTTTACGATTGTTTCTTTTTCTTCCTTAATAGCTTGCTCTGCCAGACAATTCGTTTTTACTTTTACATGTATATAAATATCATCCTTTTTATAGTTACCCTTTATGGTTTTTAGGAAAATGCCGGAGACAATATGTTCATGATGAATAAGTATTGACCTAGTAGTACTTAATTCAAGGTACCAAGAGTCCATTATCAATTGTTATCGACACATAAGTGGCAAATCAAAATAACTAACTAAATAGACCCAGCGTCGTAAATCATTGGGACTAACAGTCCTTTACCAATTGATATCAACCCAGTAGTAGCAAACAAAAGAGATTAACAGGCAATCATCAATTGGTAACCACCCAAACGTAGTAAACCAATGGTACTAACAGTCATCACCAGTAGGTAGCAGAAGACCCAGTAGTAACCTAAAGGGGCTTTTATATATATTTATATGCTAATGGGTTTTACTCCATATTTAAGGCCGATTGATTTTCTAAAAATCCTCGTCCTTTGGTCATGATTTGACATTTGTTTCATTGGCAATCATACTACATCTTCTTATTCATAAATTATCAGCGCACCATCAATTAGCATCGACATAGTAATAGCAAATCACATGGACAAACAGCCAATCACCAATCGGTATCAACCCAGAAGTTGTAAACATTGGGATTAACCCTCCAACACCAATTAATATCGACCAGTGAAGAATATGTAAAGTACTAACAGTCCTTCAACAATTAATATTGACCTAGTATTGGTAAATTAAACGGACTCACAGTCTATAACCGTTTGTTATCGAGCCAGTTTTAGTCAATTAAAGGCTGTAACAGCATCACCAATTGGTATTGAACCAGTAGTAGTAAATTAAAGGGTAAACATTCCATCGCCATTTGGTATTGAACCAGTGGTAGTCAATCAAAGGGTTACTATATATACATATATACTGTGGATTCATTTATTTTCGTGGGTACCAATTTTCGTGGATCAAGGAAAATTTGCATGTTCATGGATATTTAATTTCGTTGTTTTGCCGAAATCTGCATGCAAGCCACTAGAAAATTTGTCATTCGTTGAACATTTAATTTCGTGGTTCAACTGTACCCACGAAATCCACGAACATTGGTATCCAACGAAAAATAATGAATCCACAGTATATAGTGTATTAAATATACAGTTATTGATACTTACAATGTTACTAACCGAAACAAATTCCGGAAAACACCGTCTGGTAATTCAGTAATTAGATTGTTGCTCATATCCCTGAGGTAAAATATAGAAAATTACAAAGGTTAACGAACTGTAATAAATATTTATCTCAATTCAAGTGTATCCTATTGAACGTATTTACAGTAATCTAAAAAAGAGAAACGTTGTATTAAGTCTTGATTCAATCCATGCACGCACTTGACGACACCCAAAGCAAGGGAACAACGCTTTTATTGTTGTTCTTCATCTAAAGGGTCTTCAAAAAAAGGCAAAACAATCAGCATACTCTAATCAATAACTATGCTTGATATCTAAAAATCTGAAAAATTTCGCCATTTGTTTGCATTTGTTTTTTTTTAAATAATTTTGGTACCAATTCAACACATACGTCACCACATTGCAAAACAAAACAAAAATAAAAACAATTATTACTCATTATTACAAAGTAAAAGTGGCAACATTGAATGTACGCCAGAAGTGCCTTTATATTTTCAAAAGTTCTTTGTTGAAACCATTCATTGTATAGTGACATATCTCGAGCATGCATTACAAAAATAAGATTTTATGATTTAGTGGTCAACATCTTTTGTGAAATTACTAAATACTAGTAATTTTGAAAATAATGATTGCATAGCATGAAGTGATTATGAACTCCGGGGAACTAATTGAGCATAGAACGGAATATGGATAGTGCAATTTCATCAATTACATTCATTTGTAAATGTTATCAAGATTTCAATGAGGTAAATTACGTACATATATGAGACGGAAAAGCTCATTACCTCAGTACTGATCGACACTGTTTTAAAAGTGCTAATAAATTTAATTAAATACATCGTTGTACAATTTAGGCTGTAGTAAAGAACAGAAACTAAAGATAAGGTTTGGAAGGCGGAAGTAATTATATATAATCACAAATCAAACGTACCTATTTGATGTATGCATTTTAACTTTGATAAAAATATTTAGGTAGGAAATGGTTTTTTTTTTCGGCTAAATAACTAAATCAAGCATTTTTTTGTATATTATACAATCCGCATATTTAAGATTTCCAACGTCAAAAAAAATTAAAATTAATTTCTTTTAAAGACATGCGTTGCCGTGATATTCTGTTATCGTACCCAAGTTCTCAACTCTAAATAAAGAAAGATACATATAAAATAATGGCATTATTGACAAATTCATTGTGAACACGCAAAGGTTTTAAAGATCCAATAACAAAAATATCAATTATCTAAAGTAAATGTCAACGAATATTAATAGCGTCCTTGTCTTCAGTGCAGGGCTCTTGGTTTCGAGATCAACCAAGGTAAAAACATTAAACTTGGTATTTGTTATTTCGTCTCTCAGCATAACGCAGTTAGAATTAAAAGGAAATATTGGTTAGCTCAGAATTAGAATAATGTGAATAAGAAGACACTAGTAAACATATTTTAAACTGAAACGGTCATTTTGATCAGAACTGCTCTAAAAAGACTGAACATTAATTTTGTAATGTTGATTCTTTAAATCAACTTTCAGACTTACCCACTGTGGTAAACTCTGTTACAGTACTGTTCAAACAATTCGCTCGAGATCAAGATCTATTTAGTTTATGTTTAGAATGTTTTTTAGTAATTGTTTTCAAATTGTACAAAACACCAACATACTGAATTGTTTGAAAAGCTACCAAACACTTATGAATTTACAAAAAAAAATATCTGAAAAATAATTTAAACTCTTAACAATACTGAACGTTTTTAGGGTCAGACGTACTGATCTGATGATGCTAAGATCAAAAATGGCCTTTGTAGATTTTAGATCATTTAGCAGTGAAAGCTAAATGTTTTCTTTTTTACTGTTACATAAAACACGTATAACAACTGGCTCAGCGTATTGGTCTAGTTCAAACCCGTTTCACATTCATATTAAAAAATACAACACAATTTAATCAAAACTATATTTCAATACAAAATTAATTGGATTAGTCAACAGGCATTGATATCGATTAAACATTTTCCGCTGGACACTGAACATTCATCCATCCACTTTTTTCGATTCAAATTTGGAAATATGAAAGCGATTCAACGATTTTTTTTTATTATGAATTAAATTTCATGAATCACAATGTTTTCATACTTTCGTCTCTAACGTTGACATCCCATTCCAGCATCCATACAATATTCAATTATTCAATTATTTAGACCTTCGGACATTGTGGACATAAGTATATAAAAAGATGTCAACTGACAAAGAAACACTTTACAAATACAACTCGTACGAAATTTTAAAAGAACTTATGATAATCCAACGTCGACATATTTTGTGTGTAATTTGGGAGAAGTCTGTTCAATTGAACAGAAAAATGTTGTAGTGGCCATTGGGTAAGTTAGTATAATTGTACTTACAGGTACGATAATCTATCCAGTTTAAAAAATGTATCTGTATTAAATGTCATCCCAATTCGGTTACCAGCGAGTACACTGAAAAAAATATATATCATTTATGTGTAGACAAAAGTAAAATCACAAAAATACTGAACTCAGAGGAAAATTCAAAAAGGAAAGTCTCTCATCAAATGGCAAAATCAAAAGCTCAAACACATCAAACGAATGGATAACAACTGTCATATTCCTGACTTGGTACAGGCATTTTCTTATGTAGAAAATGGTGGATTGAACCTGGTTATATAGCTAGCTAAACCTCTCACTTGTATGACAGTCGCATCAAATTCCATTATATTGACAACGATGCGTGAACAAAAAAACCAGACACAATAGGTAAAAATGTCAAAAATAGGGGTACAGCTGTCAACATTGTATTATCATCTTAATCACTATAAAAACAAACAAATGTAACAAAGAAGCAAAAAAAGGCATACATCAAATTTAACATCCTCATTTTGCTTTTTTGTAGGTGTAGTTGAAAGCTATATTGTAAACCAATTTGTCAAGGAAAAACATTCAGACAAAATTATTGAAATTGTATTTCCAAATAGTCAGAGGACCAGCGAGCGAGTTTTTTTTTCAATGATTCTAATGAAGCGTTTTTAGATGTCTGATATTGACATTTACAATATAATCAGTATAACTAAGATTCACAGGTATCTTTGTTTGTTATTTATGCACGTAACACTTAATATATTGGTTTTTTATGTGCGTTGCAGTGACTGTAGCGTCCTTACTGCTTTAGGCAAATTCAAATTAATCAGAGCTACTTAGGTATTAATTAGCATTACTAAAAGAAATGGACGACACCTTTGATTTCAAAACTCATTTACGTAACTCTAACAACCCTAACCATAAAATTAACCCTTACCCATACCTAACCCTACTTCTAGCTCTGAAACCTAAAACAAACCCTAACCATAAACGGATACAAGGCTACCTCAGAAGTACAGGGTCCCGTACAGTAAATGGAGGTCAGAAATCAATTGAAGATGTTCAAAATAGAAAAAAAATCTCATTGAATCATGTAAATTACTCGACATGACAACAACGATCCCGTTTCCCCACTTCCCGTTTAACACTGAACATTGAACTTCCAACTACGTCTCGGCGTTTCTGACGACAAAAAACAAACAAATTGTATCCGTGGTATGCAAACAAAGTATTGTATTTGGCCTCGGCACATTTGAATTTCACTGAACAAAATCGACATTGTCGATAAAACTCATTATTTTGAGTTGAAACTGTACGCAGTCAACTCAAAAATCTCAATTCCATTCGCACCGGAAATGTTTTCGCAGAGGACAGAGATACACATTTATAATCAATTTTATGGTATCTTTAGTTACTAAGATAGTTTAAACTTAACAGCTGTTTATCAGCTCTTTTGTCTCTTTCTAATCGATTTACGAGATTTGAACATCGGTAAACTACTGTCGCCTTAATTCATATATGTCAAGTTCCATCAGACATTTTTTTTTATAACATAACGGTACTGCTAAATTTTGATTTTCTTCATAATTAGTAATTAAAAAAACTTTTTTCAACTGAAAATATTAAGTTTGGCAGTTTATTTTTTATTCAACTCAGTTTTTAAGCTCAACTAAAATCAGAGATCTACAGATTGAAAACCTTGAATGTAAGATGGCGACAACGATTTGTTTTTTAGAGGAAAATAGTTGCAAGAAAATGATCTGTTATCCCCTTTTCACTGCATCTTCCAAACTGACTGTTTAAGTCTTCATTAGGTGTGACATTGAGATGAATTTTCTACCCCATGAATACCTTAGCTGTATGTGGCATAACCTTTCGGAATTTTGGGTCCTCAATGCACTTCAACTTCGTACTTTATTTGGCCTTTTTTTTAAAACTTTTTTGGTCGAGCATCACTGATGAGTCTTTTGTGAAGAAACGAGCGTCTGGCGTACAGCATTTTAATCCTGGTATCTATGATAAGTTTATTGAATTGTTTATCTTTGACATAAGACATATCTTGATTCTTTAATTTGCTTGTCACCTTTATAATCTGTTAGATAATTTTCAATTTTTCAATCCTATAATTTATTTGAAATTCTCTCTTGCTCCAACCCTCAAAAACCAACTGGTTTCGTTTTTCCAAAGAGTTACCGAGCACTTAAGTTAAATTTTAATCTCATCAATGTGAACTTATGTTTTTAAAAGGAAATTTGAAAAATTAAATCTATGTCCAGGCACCCAAATTATGTCTTATTCATGTGGCAGTTGTTTAGAAGCTTTATATAGATTACACAAGATATTAAACATTATGTTTAAATTTTTGTTGCATTTTAAACATCCGTTTCCTTCTATACCACAGTGACCACAACCTTGGATCGTGATAAATCTGTTTGATGAAGGTGTAAATAACAATCTTAAAGGGGAATTAATTTCGTGTTCACCGATTTGACTCAAATACTCATATTTGATTTATAACATACTTAAACGTATATTCAAATTACAAAAAGGTGTAAAGATAAACAATTAACAATACATAGCCTCGATATTATGTATCAGCATTTCGTGTGTACTTTACTCTAATCTAATTAACCTTTGATATGACTTCGAAGACTACCAACGGCCATATAAATCGATATAAACATTAATACAAATATAAATAGATAGCGAGCACGTGTAATTGCATTTTTCTAGGTCAGTTTGATATCATGTTATTTGTTACAAAAATATGTAAATCATCGTTTTTTTTCATGTATAAGAATGAGTTTTTGTGGATTGAATCAATCAACGGAATGGTTTACCTTTGTTTCACCTTTAATTTTGACATTCTTTTCCAGTTTTTCAGTTTTTAAATGGAAAAGAATGTAAACATTGGAAGTGCAACAAGGGTAAACCATTTGGTTGACTGATTCGATCTAGAAGACTCATTCTTATACAGGTAAAACGATTATCAACTTATCTTTTTAACCTATAATATGAAATCAAACAGACCTAGAAAAATCCAATTGCACGAGTTCGCAATCTATTTATATCTATGTCTATGTTTATATCGGGTTATATGACCGTCGGCAGTCTTAGGACGTTACCTCGATAGTTAATTAGATGGCGCCTAGTCTAAAATTCACACGAAATGCTGATACAGACTATCGAGTCTATGCACCGTAAATTGTTTATTTTAGACTTTTTATAATTTGAATATGCGTTTTAGTATGCTATAAGTCGAATATAAGAATTTGAGTTAAATCGGTGAACATGAAATTGACAGGTAATGCCCCTTTAAAGGACATTTTGTTATTACGGATGTTTATGACAAAAGTATGTAAAATTGTTAATAAATAACGAAGTCGTGTATTTCAATGAGTGTTTTGAACGAACATGCTTTAACTAATTACACATAATGTTTAGAAATAAGACAATGGGAACTGTTGAAATAAAAAAAAATCCAAACAGTGTAAATGGACACGTTGTATTGGGAAATCAGTCTAGCAAACATTTGCAATAATTTTTCATTATTATTTTCCTTGGCATGAAAAAAGTCATCAACGCTACAGACCAATTCGTTGCACAGTGACTTACTAGGCGAAAGAGTATGGGGTAAACCAAAAAATGAGATGTGTAGGAACGAAGAAAAAAAATTCCACGGCCTGAAACCTAACCGTGAAATGTGGGTCAACGAATCGAAACGAAAACTTTATCTGTAAGTCATCATTATAATCTAATTTATGAAAAAAAGAATCAACTTTATATCTGCAGTATTACAAACCAAAACATATCCGGACAAGTTCAATGTTCATAAAGTTTTAAGACCAAACGTAATAACGCAAAAAAGTCAGCCAATGTGAACGAAACGCAGACTCGATCTGTAAGTCATCACTATACTTTGACGTCAAACGCGCGATTCAACGCCAGTACTTAAAACCTTCCATCCTTTATGGGTGGATTTTACATAGATAAATAAAATAGTATAATAAAAAAGCAAAATGAGGATGTTAAATTTGATGTATGCCTTTTTATGCTTCTTCGTTACATTTGTTTGTTTTTATAGTGATTAAGATGATAACACAATGTTGACTGCTGTACTCCCATCTTTGACATTTTTACCTATTGTGTCTGTTTGTTTTGTTCACGCATCGTTGTCAATATAATGGAATTTGATGCGACTGTCATACAAGTGAGAGGTTTAGCTAGCTATAAAACCAGGTTCAATCCACCATTTTCTACATACGAAAATGCCTGTACCAAGTCAGGAATATGACAGTTGTTATCCATTCGTTTGATGTGTTTGAGCTTTTGATTTTGCCATTTGATGAGAGACTTTCCTTTTTGAATTTTTCTCGGAGTTCAGTATTTTTGTGATTTTACTTTTTAATAGGCTTACAAATATTAGGCTTTAAGCGTTCTTGGTGAAGATGAACGAAATTTATGAAGCGTTGTTTTCATTTTTTTACAGCACTGGGTAGATACCGCTGCTATGGACTATCAGTCCCCGAGGTTTTCATCAGTTGAGTAGTCAATACTTCGGTACCGACATGATTTATAAAAAAAAGTTTCTGAAATAGTCCGTTTACAAATTTAGAAATTATTAAGAAACTTAGGTTTCAACTCTTAAAAGCAATGTTGACCTTAGAAGGATTTGGCTATTATTTTAAGGTCTTTATGGTCATATAGCTCTTCAAATAGTTAGGTTCTTATAAATCCTTGGCTTTCAAATATTTGGCTTTGAGCGTTCCCGATGAAGGTAAATTCAGAGAAGCGCTTCCGACGCATGGCATTTATAAAAGTGTGGTATTCATTTTTTAATTGAACAAAAACACAGATCCAGATATACAAGTCATTACAACTGTTAAATTTCAGAAGAATGGAAGGACTGAATGACGGTGTAACAGAAAAATGTAACACCGTATGGCCCTATCACTTGGAGGCATAAACAATCTATCTATTGTTTTATTCTACATTGGCTAGAGGTATAGGGGGAGGGTTGAGATCTCACAAAACATGTTTAACCCCGCCACATTTTTGCGCCTGTTCCAAGTCAGGAGCCTCTGGCCTTTGTTAATCTTGTATGTTTTTTTTTAATTTTAGTTCATTTATATGTTTCGGAGTCAGTGTGACGTCCATTTTCACTGAACTAGTACACATTTTTGTTTAGGGGTCATCTGAAGCCAGCCTCCAGGTGCGGGATTTTCTCGCTGTGTTGAAGACCCATTGGTGGCCTTGGGCTGTTTTCTGCTCTTTGGTAGGGTTGTTGTCTCTTTGACACATTCCCCATTTCCATTCTCAATTTTATCTATTAGGCATGACACAAAGTGCAGTCACAGTAACATCACCATTTTGCATTATGCCAATATTGTCATTCTTCGCGATATTCCTTAAAAATTCTTGAGCGAAAAAGTTGACTTTTCACAAGTTGCGGCTACTTCAAAGAAAGGGCCCTATCAAACAGTTTTAAAGTTCATGTCAATTATACCTTAAATCATAGAAGAAGGTAGAGGCGAAGGATACCAAAGGGACATTCAAACTCATAAGTCGAAAATAACTGACAACGCCATGACTAAAACAGAAAAGACAAACAGACAAACAACAGTACACAAAACACAACATATAGGGGTGAAAATAGGCAAGAGTAGTTTACCAATGTTTTACATCTCACAATTCGATTTAGAAGACAAATCAAGGTAACAAACAGAAACTGAAGAAATCGAATGAACTCCAAAGGGAACGAGACCTTGTACATCGACATGATAAGCGTCTCCATCTATGCATGCATCGCCCGCCATGCGAATTCACACATTAGACTGTTATTCTGATATCTTGAGATCTAAGACTGCAAAAACCTGTCGCTAGTGAGTTAAGACACACGTATCGATAACAAATTATGATGGTGACCGTAAAAATTATGTAGTGTCGATTTCTGTTGTTCTTCCTCATATCTCTGTTGGAGCAGTTTTTTGTGTCAGGAGCATATCCCTGCTATTGAAGTCCGTATAACATGAACATGCATGAGAGTAACGTATCAATTGAGACATGTAAACGACACATGATGGAGCACAGAGTATGCTATTGCTGAGAAGCGGGGAGTTAACAATTGGAAGGTTCACTGGGATATATGAGATGTAATGCACGCACTGAAATGTGGGTTAATTAGTGGTTAACCAGGTCAAAGTTTAATAAATAAAATATTTAAAAAAATTTCAAACTTACAATTTTATTATATTATCCTCGAAATTCAGGTATTCAGGCAAATCTTCTAATCCAAGATTTGTACAATTCATTTCATCTTCCTTACAAACGCATACATCTACCTGATACGGACATGCATAAGCTGCAAAAATAACAAACAATAAATTGTGGTAAAGGCTGATAAATATGTAGAAGGTAAATAACTATGCTTCAAGCCAGGAACTAGTGTTTATTTCTATTTTCATTAACTCGATATATATTTAGCGTAAAGGAACTAGCACCAATCCTGAATTTAAAAAAATACAAATTATTTTTCTTCAAGAGGAAAAACATATGCAATTTAAACATTTGCGTATAAGTCAAAAGTACATGCAATTGATTTTGTTTTGAAATAAACTTTTCAAAACACTCAAAATTAGGATTAAAGTAGATAGTCAAGTAAATTAAAATTTCAAGTAGAATATATTTCTTCAACATGAGAAAAGAAAAAAAAAAGATTCGGACAAATCTCTAGGAAACAGTTAAAATAAAGTTTTTACTGTTTCCTATGTGATGTAATTATACTTCAATAACAAGGTAAACAAATCCTAGTAAAACAACACAATTAAAACACAAGGAGAATAAAAAATAGTGAGTCAAGAGAACGAGACGTAAAATGTAATTAGATAAAACTAGATTAACGCTCCAAAACCTCTTATGTATCTAATCATACACAGTTAATATCAAATTGAATTGACATATTAGCTGAAAACTTAAGGTGGCTCACCCCAACAAGGACCCCCGGTAGAAATGCTTTATTTTCACATATTTTGTAGATCGTTCTATGCTAAATCCAAAAATGTAAAGAAAAAAGGGGGTCACCTGGCTCGTTTTTTCCTCAAAAGGAAGCGAAATGTGCGATTTTGACCCTATTTTCAAACATTTCCAGTCTTTTAACAATAAGGGCAACATCAAATTCAAAGACTTTTAGAACTAAGTCAGTATGATTATATGTGAAAAAACGTTAAAATTCAAAACGTAAACATTTTCCCTGATTGTTTTAAACTAAAATTCCTTTTATTCTTAAATTTATGTCACAATTTGGTCATTTTCTAATTTCAGTTTAAGGTTAAAATATTGGTTAAATCGATTTTTCATAAATTTTACCTGTTAATTTTGTTTAAAAACGGATCTATCAAATCTATGGACATACCGAGCATTTTAAGGTAAAATAAAATTGGGATCACCAGGCTTTTAAAAAGTTGTTTTACCCCTCTACCCCATAAAGTCTGATGAATTTCAATGCACTCCATAAATCACTTTGTTGTGAATTCTTTATTGATCTCTTTAATAAAATAATGTGTGCACTTATATTACTTTGTTTAACGTATAATTGTTTGTTTAAGCGAAATGTTGATTATTTTGGTAAAATACGGTAATTTTGTCAGGCGCGAGTTGTTTCCTTTCAATTTGGACAACAGAAATTACAGTGTCGCCATTGTTGTGCAGCGTTCACTTCTGACGAAAACGACCATGTACCTGATTATAGACATAGTGGCGAACAGACAACGCTGAAGGTAAAGTCATCGCATATAAAAACAGATATTTTAATATTTTATGCAGCCATATGTTATCAGAAACACGAAAAATACAAAGTGGGGGGTTGTCTCAAAATACTCCCTTCTGTAGAAAATATTTGCGGCTGAAAACTTCCATGGGTTAAAACATGAATACTGTTTGAGGAATGTATTTCTGTTCTTAGTTTTGAGTAGGTCTATTCTATAAGATCGTTTCTTTGTGATCATAATTTGTTTAGTTATCCCCCCCCCCCCCCCCTGTTTGGTAGAGAAAATGTCATCTAGGTACAAACAAAGGACTTTACTGAATTACCAAATAACACATACATATGAGTTGAAGGTTAATCTTCCAAACTCACAGTTCAATATTTTTATGCTCTGTATTTGAAATACAAAATGTATGTATCCCATAAACCAAACATGGTGTAATAACCCATTTGAGCGACTTCTCATGTTCTGTTTAAGAACTAGTGAAAAGCACACACTTATATAAAACATTATACACCTAAATAAAAAAATGAAACTTTAAGGTCTTATTTTTGCAATGTTTTAACATTATTCATTTGTTATTCAAAAAAGCATTTTAGCATGTTTGTTAAGAGGTATGGTTTTGTTCAGAGACAAACAATGTGTTTCAAATTTATTAAAAAGATTCAGAATTCTGTTGAAGCAATTTTTTTTGGTTTTATTTTATTTTTTAACTACTTTGCAACAATACAAAAATATTTCACAGTTTCCTTAGTGAAACAACTTTTTTATATATAGATTTTTAAAAAGAAAAAAAAACCAATTTATTAAATGCCTCCTTTAACAAAGATGAATGATCAGGTCAAATATAAAAAATGTGTGGTTCCTGTAACATTCAAATAAAAAATAGGGGTCATTGGACATTGAAAGTAGGGAGTTTGTTTTTTTTAAATATGGAGTACAAATGAAGCTGCATTTCTGCATGTATATTTTTTTTTTTTTTATTCTTTGATTTTTTGACTACATGTACCCCCTCTTGAACAGTTTTATCTCTTATCATGTTTATAATAATACATTCAAATACATTCAAATACTTGACTGTAAATTAAATATATGTAAATATCTGTTTTTCATTGTATTGTAATTTGTATGCGAGGGCCCCAGGGAAGATTAGTTTGTTGTAACTAACTGTGTTTACCCTCTTTAAATAAAGAATTTATTATTATTATATTATTATTATTATTATTATGTATTCTGGAGATGTTAAAAGGTGTTTGTGATAAAAAAATCACTATTTATACATGTCATGCATGTAATTCTATTTTGTTTGCTCATTATTGATCACCATAGCTTCTTTTTTTTAAGATGAATTATATTATGCATTTAAATATTAATCATGGTTGATTTGTTTTACAGAATTACTCTAAAAACTAATTTCCGGCTTCAAATACTGAATACTTGGTTGTATGATACATGTAAGAGGAAGTAGTGATTTGTTGTAAAAGGTTCTGGAATGTTCAACTTTACTTGGGAACTATTGGCAAAGTACTGACATAATTCTTATTAGAAGCCAAGTTGAACTCGTCTTGCAATTGCATTGGGAACTATAATATAAAGTGCTGAAACTTAAGAATCGACATTGGAAGCCAAGATCAACAATACTTGGAACTACATGTATAATCAAAGTACTGTCAGAAACCACAAGAGAACCGAAGATCAACTATATTTGATGACTTTATGCAATATGCTGTCAGAATCCACATTAGAAGGCAAGGACAACCTCACTCGGGAACTATATGCAAAGTTCTGTCAAAATCCATGTAAAAATCAAAGATCAAAAGGACCTCCTTTACCTACACATCCCAATGATGAATAGAGAATATTGAGTCGTAAAAAGATCACTGAAGAAGAATACAAAAAAAATATTGATATAGAAATAGTGAAAATATGGAGCTGATCAGTAATAATTGTACACATATACATGTTAATATTGGAATATTCAATGTAAGTTAATGTTTAATATCTTTGATCTCATAGACATTTTGAGAAAAAAATCAAAAATGTTTCAGAAAATGAATTAAAATTCTTTTTTAATACAGCTGTTTTATTTATTTTTTGCTGTGAATTTTGCTACAAAAATTATACATGACAAGCAAACTGCAAAATATGCAGTTGTCTTACAAAATTAAGCTAATGGCATTTGTATATTTTAGAAATCATAATATCAGGTGGTAGTTGTGGTAAATACACGTGCCTTTCCCTCACCCAGCACCTGACCCAAAATGGCCACTTGACTTATATTACATCATTTGGCATTTGTTGCCCATCCATATGCTAATCAGTAGCTATTTCAAAAGTATTTTCTGGATAAAAGGACATTTGGAATATAATTCAGTGAGACAGCAACCAAAAAAAAAAACAAATCAAACAAATTAAATATTGTCTGAAATAACTAATGTCTCACTAAATAACTGACAACTTCATTACCTATCACAATGATCTAGATTACTTAAATAAAAAAAATATTGTTTTGTAAAATTAGATTTGCACTCCAACTAATAGGTACATGTATTGCAACAAAGATTTCCGGAAATGATACTTTGAAATAAAAAAGTATGGCCTTATAAACATAAAATTATAACTTTGCAAATATTTCTAAGAGTAGAAATGGAAAAATCCTGTCTGCACAATTTTCACATCATTTGAGTAAATTATGTTACCAACAAAAGCCTTTAAAGATTGCAAGAGAATGGAGTATTCATAAATAAAACATCAATCCGACGTTTTTTCTTGCCAGCGATGAAAGTGACAATGCGAGACATAGGGATAACAATCTGGAATCTGCATAAATTATTTGTATTAAGCTTTATATTTCAGAAAGTAGAAAACCTGGAAGCTTCATACCTTGTATTCAGATGTCTTATGTTACAAACTTTCCGTCTGTCATACATGTATGTCTGCTGTCCTTAGCCTCATTTTCATGGTTCAGCGACTGCTAAAATAGGATACCTATATTAGGTATATGGGTCTCTTTCAAGGTTTACATGTCCTTCAGATAGGGTTCACCTGACCTCAATATCATATCATGGATCAGAGATCAAGGTTTTAGTTATCTGATTAGGGGTGTTTCTCAGATACCTTTAGCAATAGGCCATTTGTCAACGATAAGTTTATGTGTTTTGGTCTGTTTTTCTAATAATAAAAGCAATAGGTAAACTATATCTGGTGAATGGAATGATTGTAAGGTACACATGTCGGTCTGGCAAGTATAATTTGTCCTTTACCTCGTTTTCATGGTTCATTGGTCAATGTTAAGTCCTCTTTTAAGATACTATAAGCAATAGTCAACTATATATTTTCATGGATCATTGATAATATTAAATCTTTGTGATACTTGTAGTAAAACTTTATCTTTAGGAATATCAACATAAAACCAATCATGATGAGAAAAGCAAGTGAGACATTTCAGCTTGTGCACTCTTGTTAACACAAACAATGTGTTGAAAACTGTGACTACCATATATGTAGATGTATCTAGGAATCTAGTAACAACTTGAAAAAATATGTGATCTATCCTGATACTTCTTTTTTTTTTATTGAAACAAGTCCTGATACATGTGTAGTTCACACACCATTTGCTTGTAAGCATTACATTTTTGAAGAATACTTATTTCCAAATTTAGTGTTGTGACAATGATTTCACAAAGCAGCTATCATCGTTGAAAGTCAAATCAATATCTTTTTTAACACCAACAAATCTGTCTACTCACCATTTTTATACGCCCGTTTACGAGACGTATTATGGTATACCGTTGTCCGTCCGTCCGTCGTCAACATGTCTGACAATAACTCAAACACGCTTTAACCAAATTTTACGAAACTTAAGTGCATTGTTTATATCTATTGACGTAAGCTCCCTTTCGATTTTTGTAAATTTCAGATTTTACTTTTCTGAGTTGTGGAATTTTATTCATAAAAAAGGGGTGATTTTCTAGTTTTCGGACAATAACTCAAAAATGCTTTGAGCAGTGTTCATGAAACTTTTGCGGTTGGTTTATTTCTATCAAAATAAGCTCCCTTTAGTTTTTTACATACTTCGGAATAAACTCCTGGCCATTACTTAAAAATGAAGATATTTCAAATTAAAAATGATTTAATGACAGTGACCCATGGTAATATAATATGCAAAATTAATAGTGTGCAGATGAACCCCCGATACCTTTATAGCATAATATATGGGTTTTACTCGTTGTTGAATGTCGTACGGTGACATGCAGTTGTTAACATCGCTGTCCTTTTTAAAAGTTGCGTCATTGGCAGTCGTACAACATGTCAATATTTCAATTTTTTTTAACGCACAATAATGCTTATATTTCTGTCCTTTTATAATTTTATATGAAAAATTAACAAGCCACTTTGTATTTCTGACCGTATTTCCTTTTTTGTAGAAAGGTTTGCATCGTTGTTGACATCGGGAAAGGGTGCTCTCAGACACACCCGCGTTCCAATGTCGTCAAATTACTTTTGAGAAGACCCCTCAAAGCGATCGTTTCCAAGACGAAGAGCACGCGCTCGTCGTTAGAAATATACGTTAAAAACTGTGCATTGTTAAAGGCCGAGCCACCTTAAACAACAACAAAGCAATACGTAACAACAACATAAAGTAGAAAGTCCGTGTCGAAATGTAGCCAATTTACTGTGAAGATGAACGTTACACCTGTTAGTGTTTGGACAGTGGATACTTTAAACAGAAATGAATTCAGCACTCGATTTTTATCCTCTTTCCGTTATAAAACGTTTCAAAATCATGTCATGTTTAATTACTTACGACAATTTGTTTCATCCACAAATGTTTCTGTGCAGTCTGGAACTCCATCACATATTCTCTGGCCATCAATACAAAAAGACTTATTACATTTAAACTGACCTTGTTGACACTGCCATGAACCTATTAATCAAAACAAGTTTAAGCTTTTTAAAACACTTGCTGGTTCTTTAATGTTGTTTGGTGTGAGTCTGGATTAAACGTAAAAATGAGTCCATGTTAACAAGAACATAGCGCTAAACGACGATAGAACTCCATTAAACAACACAGATTTTATATGTTCAAATTGTCGTTACTACAATCCCTTCCCTTTTTCACCGAATGTGACCTACCGAATTGACTTATGACCGGTTTTGTACTAACATGAGCAACACGACGGGTGTCACATGTGGAGCAGGATCTGCTTACCCTTCCGGAGCACCTAAAATCACCCAAGTATTTGGTGGGTTTCGTGTTGCTAGTCTTTGGTCTCATATGTTGTGTTTTGTGTACTGTTGTTTTTCCGTTTTTCTTTTTTTTTTTTAGCCATGGCGTTGTCAGTTTGTTTTCGACTTATGAGTTTGAATGTGCCTTTGGTATCCCTCGCCTCCTTTATATTGTAGTTATCGGTATTGCTATGATTATGCACCTTTTTATTATTCTAGATAAAAATATAATTTTACATCTTAAGTGCACACTATCAATGCTGAAAACTTTGAACAAATACGAATGTATTTCCAATGAAAATAACAGGAATAGAAGCACTAGCATTTAGTTTCATTTTTGACAACCCGGATTAATTGACATGTATTGTACCTTGACCTTAACTGTTATTCCAGCGTCAATATGGCGTTACATTGTCAAACATCGTAACGCCAACATGTATTCATGGAACATGGTGAGGCTTATGATGAGAAATCACATGCCTTCCATTGATATTGATAATTATAACATGATGAATGTCACTAATGAAGAAGGATCTGCTGATCCTTTCGGAACATCTGAGAACATAACTATAATTTTTATTGTAGTTTGTGTTGCTTTAGTTTTCTTTGTGGCGTTTTGTGAACTTGTTTGTCATTTCGTTTTTTGCCATGTTTTTCCAACATTTTGAAAACATAAAACATTATCAATTTGCTAACATATAAAGGCAATGTTCGAAATATTGGCTATACATTAGGTAAGGCACATTTTCTTTTTTCCGCTAGTATATATTAGCAAAATGTACATTTCTATTAGGATTATGCAAGTAAAAGACAACACATGTAATTAAATGTTATCAAAATACAAAAGGGCGAAGTTTTGAATATTTAAGTAATAAATAAAATTAAGTCGTCAGTAAAAATTTGGCGGTATTCATTAGGGTAAAGATTTTCATTCTATAAACGATTGGTGGACCAGCCACAATCTGCATAACAACAACATTTAATTCCTGTTACATATGCCTGAATCAATATTTTTTACTGCAACCACGGATGAAAACAATTGTTTAGTGATGCGAGTTATAAATATTTCGTATGTACAAATTTCAATGAAAACTCATAAACCTATATATGTCAAATTGAGCATATCAAGTGTATATGACACTTACTAGGTGATAAAAGAATAATCATTATTTTTTTGAATATTTTTATTTTAAAGAAATTTTGTTTAAAGCCGCCAGCAATGATTATTTCTGCAATTATAACCTTCAGTAATTGACTGTTTTTGCACGGGAAAAAATAATTGCTGATAACACTATATACCTGACTTAAACTATTATTAGAATGAATAATTGAAAATTTAAATGTTTAAGGCATAACCACGATACGTTGCCAAGGATGTGGAATATTTAAATTGATAATGCGTAATAAGTAAACAGTTTTTCCAAATACTGTGCTTTAACTATTTTATTCATAGTAAAGATAAACAATACAATCCTTGAGTTAACTGTCTTCCCTCATTATAAATGTCGAACCAACATTGTGGTTAAGGGAAAACCACGATTGAAAAAGAAGACTGCCAATGTTGAATGCTGAAAAAGATTTAGTGCACAAACTTTATTCCATGTATAGAGTTTTGTGTCTGTTTTTGTTTTGTTTTCGTGAGTTGCAATAACCAAACAACAACTGAAGCTACCTTAGCTAGCTTCCTATGGTAGCAAGCATACTTTAACCGGGGTTTCAAATTATGTGAATTTTCTAAACTTTTCTTGTTTAAGTTATTGGTCAGTAGCTGCACGGTTAAGTTTTTTGGTGTGTTACGACACATGACCTAGATAGAAGGAGTTTTGTGTGCAGGAAAAACTTGCTTATCCCTCCGTATTTTGTTCCTGTAAAACCCACCATTAAAATAGAAAGACACTCAAAGAAAAGTTGAATTTCACCGTAAGTAAGTATATGTATTTGCTGTTGTTACATGTAATAATTTCATCTACACCTGACTAAATGACATATCATCGAAAATTAATACATGAAATTAATAACAGGAATTACAAAAATATTAGACAACAGACCATACTAGCAAACAACATCCGACTCATAGAAAACCAACAGAATATTTCATCAGACTCATAGAAAACCAACAGCATATTTCTGAGACTGTTAATAGTGAAAAACATCAGTTTTCGATGAAAAAGAATTTCTGAACAACGGAAAATAGTTCCAATTTATTATACTTCACGTCAAAATGCCAGATTTTGATTGGTTAGTACGAGGGAGACAATTTACTCTATCCTATGGCAAATACTCTATTACCCTTCACGGCGACGCTTGCTCAAGTGTGCGCTTTAATAAATACGGATGATTGTTATGTACAAGACGACATAGTTTATTACTTTGAATTTGAAATTTAATAGACAGTAATAACAGAACTTTCAGTATAATAAATTAAATAACACATATCTGAGCGGGTGGTAGAGCAGATTGTTACCCCTCGAAAAAACATTGTCAACCTTGGCTTCGCCTCAGTTGACAATGTTTTCTCGGGGTAACAATCTGCTCTATCACCCTACTCAGATATGTGTTATTTATATAATGTCATCCATTCATGTTTTCATGTAAAAGGTGACAATTACAGATGACATGTTAACAATAAGGTTTTACTTTATTGAACAGAAATAATGAAACAATACTGTTTATATAAGTATTTATAAGTTGTTCGTAAATTTCGAGTGAACACATTTATGTAATTGTGCTAATGCCGAAGTTGCGACGTCTGAAGTTGATCCGAGGTGGTATAGTCTTTATTGTTAAGGATTGTTAAGTATTTGTGCTCTTTAAATTTTAAATACTATTGCCTTTTCGAACTTTTGGTCTCGAGTATACTTGATGAAGATTATTCTAGAAATATGTGTTGCGGCCATAGAAATCAAAGGTTTTCGAGAAACATAGAAGAAATTCTTTTTATTATGTCCACTTCAACAAATAAGCATGTCGGCATTGTACTGAAAATTTGTTTACATTATTCCGACATGTAGAAGTCAACATGTTTACATTAAATATTCATGTCGACATTGTAATGCAAACTTGTCTACATGTAAAAGTAGTCATGATAATTGATTCCAGCTTGCTGCACACTAAATAACCCATGCTTCCGACTTATTTGCAACAAAACAACTAAATTTCGGGTGTACCATATGCGCTTCCATAGAGATCATTAACATCCTCCATTTTATGAAGTAAAATTGTCTTCTGCTTTCCATGTTCCTTCCTTAGACATATTTACTGGTTAATCCTTTTTAGAGTAACTGTTTATTGATGACTATATAATACTTCATCTGACTTATTTGGACTCATTTGTAAAATGTTAGATGTAAGTGGGTTGATAAACTTTTAGATATGTCTGTAATGCAATATTGACATTTGGAACAAAACGAAAATTGAATTATAACTAGAGTCGCACAAATGTGTTATTAACTAAAGAATTTTGAGAATAAGCGTTTCATTGCATGCTTGATTAACTTGTGAGAAATGAAAGTTTAAAGAAATGCGATTGTCCGTACCAAACTTAAATCAAGTAAACACTTCCAATGGTATGTCATTAATCTTTTCATTTCAGTTTTATTTCGGAACAATTTACTCCTGGAAAAATGTATATTGCATTGTCAATAGTACATTAATACACTGATTTCAAGTTATCGTTTTATTAACTTATCAAACAGAGCTGTCATGAAGACATTAGTACATTCTGAGATAAGGATTGGTTTTTGGTTACATGGGAATTATATATGTTTCATCATATATAAAAGAAGCTCTTTATATTGATTTGACTTCTGACATCATCTTAATACTTATTTATATGCTAAGAAAAACAATATAATAATAGTAAGAAACACTTCAGAAGGACAAATCATTAGAGTCATAATAAATACTATTCATTTGAATTGTTTTACAGTAACACACATATACTTCCAATTTCAATATACATTTGTTTCTCGAATAAACATAAAACGCTCCCCCTAAATAAACCATCATAAAACAACATATTCCTCAAGAGTGCATGATGGCATGTTCTAGGAAAAAAGTTTGTACAGCCAAAATAAATATACGACGAAAAAAAAAGACAATACCATGATTAAACATGAAAAGACATAAAAACAAACAACTATAACAAAATATTATACATAAACCTGAACATAAAACTGAAGATTGATCACCACAAACCCAACAAAAATCAATAAATCAACGCATGTGCTTCGGAAGGGTCAACATCGCCATGTTGGTCATGAAGTCTGAATCTTGTGTTTCTGCAACAAACTGACATCATGTACGATCGAGATCAAAAGTTTGGAATATAAAAATACAAATCAGAAACATTGTTTAATCACAGATCTATCAAATAAACTTACTACAGTTAAGGAGATGAGATTTGTCAGCACATCCCTTTCTGAGGTTATCTGGGTCATAATAGCATACATGATCCATATCAATACATTGGCCGTTCTTACAGGTGAATTCATTTTGACGACAGGATCTTCTCTCTAAACAGAAAGAGGAAAAAGATCAAGAGAGATAAAAATCGGCAAAAAGCGTAGCACAGAAAAGTTAAAAATAAGAAGTTGAAATTTCTTTTGTGGTAAATACATTTTTAAGATGAATCCCGCTAAAACTGGTGCTCTGGAAGGATAGGCATAAAATGGTCGATATGTGGCATCCTTTCGAGTGATGTTTGATGTATTCTAGTATTAAAGACAGTACGAATAGAGAACGCTGGGATAAAAAAAATGCCAACTATGTTTTAGAGACAGCTAAACAATTATATTTCATTGTACAGCCTTCACAATAAACATAACCAATACCGCATAGCAAGCTATAAAAGGTAATACAAAAAAATACGATTGAAATGAGATATTCAACGGCCTGGTGTACAAAGCAATACACACATACCGAATGTCGGGAGGTTTAACATGTTTCCTAACGACTACCCTTCTTTCTAACTTGGTAAATTAGCGTTTCAGTACAACATAAAAACAAACTGTAAAATTCAGTTGAAAAGGAATTGACTATTTAGACCGACACAAAGCACAAATACAACTAACAAAAAGACGTGTTGTTTTCATTTTTTGTCGTTGGATAGTGTCTGTCATATCGGCTTTTCGTTAATTGTTTTGTCATAAATCAGATTGTTGATTTTCTCGTTTGAATTATTTCCCATTTTTTCATGTGGGGCCATTTAATTTTATAGCCAACTATACAGTATTTTGCTCATTGTTGAGTATAGAAGATAGTTGTCTCATTGGCAATCATACTAATATCTTTATTTTGATTTTAATATAACCATTGTTTAGTAAAGTAAGTGAGTCCTTAGTAATACTAAAACAATCTCAATAAATAATGAGTCATTTTACATGAAAAAAATAAAATGCTCCGCAGGGCGCAGCTTGATACGACCGCAGAGGTCGAACCCTGAACAGTTGGGGCAAGTATGGACACAACATTCAAGCTTGATACAGCTCTGAATTTGGATTGTGATTAAATATTTGACACAGCATAGGTTTCTGACACAGAATGAATGTGGTCTAAGAACTTAAAAATTTTAAATTGGACATTCACCTATTATGGTCCAATATCCAAAATCTAAATACATGGTTAGATTCAGCATATCAAAGAACCCCAAGAATTCAATTTTTGATGAAATCAAACAAAGTTTAATTTTGGACCCTTTTGACCTCAATGTGGAAAAAGTTGATAACGGGGCCCATAAATCAAAAATCTAAATACATGGTTAGATTCAGCATATCAAAGAACCCCATATATTCAATTTTTGTTGAAATCAAACAAAGTTTAATTTGGGACCCCGATTTGGACCAACTTGAAAACTGGGCCCATAATCAAAAATCTAAATACATGTTTAGATTCAGCATATCAAAGAACCCTAAAAATTCCATTTTTGTTAAAATCAAACTAAGTTTAATTTTGGACCCTTTGGACCTTAATGTAGACCAATTTGAAAACGGAACCAAAAATTAAGAATCTAAATACACGGTTAGATTTGGCATATCAAAGAACCCCAATAATTCAATTTTTGATGAAATCAAACAAAGTTAAATTTTGGACCCTTTGGACCTCAATGTGGACCAATTTAAAAACGGGGCCCAAAATCCAAAAACTTAATACACGGTTAGATTCAGCAGTGGCGTAGCTAGGCCATTTGTAAGTGTACGCCCGATACTCGGCGAGGTGTCTGAGGGACCAAAGCGGGTCCAGGGCAGAGAACCTCCTAGTAGGGGGTTGATGAGGTGAAGCCCCAGATACTCGCGTTATCGAGAAAGAGATACCATTTCTGTCATTAAAAACTCATCCATAGCTAAATATTTAGAGTCTAGTTTATTTTTTTTTAAGTTTAATTTATTCATTGTGTTGATTTTGAATCCAATGATCATTTGTCTTAGAGAAAAATGTCCAAACCAGTTACTTAAAATATGTTTAAAAGGAGATGTGGGATCTACAAATAGCCAAATCAAGATAATAAAAAAAGCAAGTCTCCATTTCAATGTTGTTCTTTTAATTATTTCGACTTCATCTAAATTTTCACCCATTTTTATGCGCAAATTCTGTTAATAGACACATGAAATAAATAATTTTCATAGATTTTCAGGTGAAATATAAAATTCGTAAAGAGTTCCGTGGAACCCTGTGTCTCGCCTGGGATTACTTCTGTCAGTGTGACTATAAAAAGTTATCTATTGATAAGTGAAATACATGATTTAAGAAAAGAAAAACTTTATCTTTAAGATAAGCTTATTTCCAAGGTTCATAACAATCTATGAAGGTTTACAAATTCATCATGTAAAAACAGACCGTCTGTTAATTATAAAAAAAAAATAAGTCAGTAAAATACTGAAAAATAAAAAAATAAAAAAAATAATTTCAAAATTATCTCTTTTAAAATCTTTAAAAAGCTTCTGCCAAATGTTCATAAAATTCCATGAAAGTTTGACAAAGTAATTGATTTGTAACAAACTTTAACCTCAAAATGTATCTTCTTATTAACTACAAAACAACAAAGTCCTTTTATTAGTTAAATACGGAAAATAAAAAAATATATATTTTCATTATGCTCTGGATACTGACTTTTGATCATAAAAAGTTTGTGTCCAACTTAGGTAAAATTTCATGAAGGTTTGACAAAGTAATTGATTTCTGAAAAAACTTTAACCTTGTACGGCATCTAAATATTAACTGTAAACAAAAATTAATAGATATAAGAAGATGTGGTATGAGTGCCAATGAGACAACTCTCCAGCCGAGTCAAAATTTATAAAAGTAAACCATTATAGGTCAAAGAACGGTCTTCAACACGGAGCCTTGGCTCACACCGAACAGCAAGCTATAAAGGGCCCCAAAAATTACTAGTGTAAAACCATTCAAACGGGAAAACCAACGGTCTAATCTATATAAAAAACGAGAAACGAGAAACACTTATGAACCACATCAACAAACGACAAGTCCATTTAGTCGACCGTGCAAGACCCTCATTGAAGTCAAGGTCGTTAAACACCCCCTAGTAGTTAAATATCGTTGACATAACACTAGTGGTTTCCCATAAACAAACTTATTACAAACTAATGCATGTAAACCAAGCAAAAGTTTCAAAGTCAATAGACCATGACTGAGGGGGCGGGACCAAACAACCGCCATGGAAATGAGATGTGTCAATGATAATACAACTGCATACTAAATATTATTTGCCTACCACTAGTGGTTCCTCATAAAGTGACCTAATAACAAACTTATACATTGTTGACGCCGCCGCCGACAACGACGCAGGAAACAACATACCTATGTCTCACTTTTTGACTCCGTCAAGGCGAGACAAAAATCAAAAGAAATATTCATAAAATTTTGCTCTGAATACTGTCTTAAATTTGGTCATAAAAAGCTTCCGTCTAACTTCCGTAAAATTCCATGAATGTTTGACAAAGTTATTGATAAAACCAAAAATAACTTTAACAACAGACTGAACCTAAATGTTGACGACACCGATGGAATCTAGGAACGCTAAGCCACGGTCTCGTTTTCCCGACATTAATGTCGCAGGCTCGTCAAAAATGCAAATCACATATCGAATGAATTACTTTAAACAATAGGAAACTGAGTAGAATTCACAGTAGATTCAGACTTTGACGGAAAATGAACGAATATGTAATGTGAAACTATTTCATTAAAAAGTAAATTTCGTGAATTTTAAAATTTATTATTGAAGAAAGAATATGAAGGCTCGTGTGGTTTAAGCTTTTTTTTATTTGTTTAGATTAATTATTTTTTTCTCCTAAATTCATGTGTACGCCCGGGCGTTTTGACGTAAACGTAGCTACGCGCCTGTTCAGCATATTAAAGAACCCCAAGAATTCAAGAATAAAACCCCATTGAAATTGATCAAGAAATAAGCAATTTATACGAAGTATCTTCTTTTGCACAATACTGTGCAATTGAATATTTCTTGCTATTGCGCAATACTGTACAATTGACAATTTCTTGCTATTGCGCAATAATGTGCCATTGGATATTTCTTGCTATTGCGCAATACTGTGCAATTGAAGATTTCTTGCTATTGCGCAATACTGTGCAATTGAAGATTTCTTGCTATTGTGCAATACTGTGCAATTGAAAATTTCTTGCTATTGCACAATACTTATTATATAATAATTTACACATCCTGTTTGGTGTGTATCTCCTACCATATCATTATTATTTGCTTTTAAATATAAATCAGAAATAACCAACTTAAAATGGAAAATTTTAAAAGAAAAAAAAGAAAAAAAAAAAAAAAAAAAATCCCCCCCCAAATTTTTTGAACCCCCTTATGATTCATCACCCCTAAACTCAATCCAAGCCTTCCCTTTGTGGTATGGTACCTTGCAGTACAATTTCAGAGAGATCCATACACTTGAACACAAGTTATTGTCTGGAAACTAGAAAAATGCTTATTTTTGGCCCCTTTTTGGCCCCCAATTCCTAAACGTTTCGGGCAATTACCCCCAAACTCAATTCCAGCTTTCCCTTTGTAATATGGAACCTTGTAGTACAATCTCAGAACTATCCAAACACTTACACACAAGTTATTGTCATGAAACTAGAAAAATGCTTGTTTTTTGCCCCTTTTTTGGCCCCTAATTCCTAAAATTTTGAGGCAATTACCCCCAAAATCAATTACAGCCTTCCCTTTGTGATATGGAACCTTGTGTTACAATGTCAGAGAGATCCATACACTTACACACAAGTTATTGTCTGGAAGTTACAAAAATGCTTATTTTTGGCCCCTTTTTGGTCCCTAATTCCTTAACTGTTGGTACCATAACCCCCAAAATCAATCCCAACCTTCCTTTCGTGGTATTGAACCTCATGGTAAAATTTCATGGAGATCCATTCACTTAAACTAAAGTTAGAGTGCGAAAACCAATGTGTCTTCGGACGACGACGACGACGACGACGACGACGCCAACGTCATACCAATATACGACCAAAAAATTTTTAATTTTTGCGGTCGTATAAAAACCCGTTACAACCAAATTTGTTCAAATTTCTAATTCAGCTACAGAAATTGTCTTCATGTGTTCTGATATAAAATAAAACAGTTATTTACATACCCATCGCAGCGTCTGGACGGAATGAAGATGTTAGATTCGATTCCTCGTATAGTTCTAACGAAAATATATCTGTTTTTATGAAAATTTATAAATTTCGAACAAAAATAATTCAAAGGAAATTTTCACCTGCTTTTTATAGACATATTGTTAAAATATTTATTCTGCATTCCAATAAATGAAGGAGATAAAAAGATAAATGCATCTTTTCGAATGTTTGATAATATGAACATGCAAAATGTGCATGAAAAGTTTTATACAAATTTGCAACATTATACGCTCATATGCTTCTATAAAATGTGCTTTTCTTTATTTGTTTGACATTAATCATCTGGTACTATCTAACCCTTCTATTGTGTTTCAGGGTACAAGACCCTTTGTCTCATTATACAATCTAGATAGCTTCGAATAATCTCACATCACCAAATTTTAGGTACATGTTTGTAACATTACTTTGGCACATTGATTTTATTCTAAAATATAGTGTCAACAACTCCTTAGGTACAATTTATCCAACAATGCCCTTCATACTCTTGTCATCAGTCTCGGATGAATATTTCACGATATGGATTAAACTTTGGCCCTAGACCGAAATTTTACACTTTTAATTACATTAGCGGTTCCAATTTTACTGCACCATATGCGTATTTTGATTATAAATGTCTCTTCAGTGACTACGTAATTACGATCTTAAATTTTGTACAACTTACCAGCACATTGTGTCTCATCACTGCCATCTGGACAGTCTCTGACGTAATCGCACCACCAGATCTCCGGTATACATTGACCGCTCCGGCATTTTACTTCTCCTGTCTGACAAGCAGTTAATCCTGAAAATAATGTTAATAAAATTGAGAATGAAAATGGGGAATGTGTCAAAGAGACAACAACCCGACCAAAATGCAGAAAACAGCCCAAGGCCACCAATGGGTCTTCAACACAGCGAGAAAATCCCGCACCCGGAGGCGGGCTCCAGCTGACCCCTTAACAAAAATGTGTACTAGTTCAGTGCAAATGGACGTCACAGTAAACTTCGAAACATATAAATGAACTGTAATTAAAAAAAACATACAAGACTAACAAAGGCCAGAGGCTCCTGACTTGGACAGGCGCAAAAATGCGGCGGGGTTAAACATGTTTTGTGAGATCTCAACCCTCCCCTTATACCTCTAGCAAATGTAGAATAAACAAACACACAGCAATACGCACAGTAAAACTCAGTTTAAAAGAAGTCCGACTGCGATGTCAGAATAGGTAACATAAGAAACTAAGCAAAATGACAATGATACATAAATTAACAAAGGACTACTAGCAGTTACTGACATGCCAGCTCCAGACCTCAATTAAACTGATTGAAATATTATGTCTCCATCATATGAAAATTAAGCACAATCCCTCCAGTTAGGGGTTTAGTATCATTCCATTTTAAAATATATGAGAAGAACATACCCGTATAATGCCAACAACTCGTTTTAGAATAAATTTGTTTATTTCCGATGCAAAGACCCTATGAGTGAATCAATATTAATACCAAAGTATGCCATCTTTAATGACCTGACAACAGTATCGTAACTAAATCTCTTCTGTTTAAAGTTTTGTTATATAACTTTTGAGGTGAATGACGACATTTTTGTGCTTTGTATAGAATATTACCATAAAAGATTGGATGTGAAATACCTGAACGTATAAGATGTATGCATGTTGATTTATATTTACGAATGATGTAAATTAAGCCATTTTGATCTAATACTTTAGATTTCAACCCTCACAGTGAACAGATGGCATTATAAGGTTTATAACTATATTGCTCACTATTAATTCATTTTCTCAGTTTTTCAAAGCTATTAGATATGCACTTTGCTGATGAAGTTTTTAAACGCGAGAAAGAAGACGTAGATACTCTTTCCGAATGGATTAAGGATGTGGGCAGTATCCTTTAACTTTACTTTCCGCTATAAAGATGATGTTCTCTCACTAAATAATTCAAAATTTATTGACTATGTTGAACGCATCTATCCCATCGAACTTGAGACAAATGATACAACAGATACACTTAAGTCTGCCTCATATCTTGACTTACATCTCGAAATTGACAATGAGGGTCGGTTGAAAACAAAATTTTACGACAAAAAGATGATTTCAGCTTCCCAACTGTGAACTTTCCATTTCTATGTAGCAACATTCCAGCAGCTCCTGCATACGGAGTATATATATCCCAGTTGATACGATATTCCAGGGCTTGTATTTCCTATCATGATTTCCTTGATAGAGGGTTGCTGCTCACAAGGAAGCTTTAAAACTAAGAGTTCCAAGTGGTGAAGTTGAAATTTTCCCTTCGTAAGTTTTACGGACGCCATCACGAGTTGGTTGACCGTTATGGAATATTTTTTTTCACAGATGATAGCGGATATGTTCCCAATGTCGTAACTACAATCCCGTTCCCTTTTCCCGAATATGACCTACCGAATTGGACTTATTACCGGGTTTGTACTAACATGAGCAACACGACGGGTGACACATGTGGAGCAGGATCTGCTTACCCTTCCGGAGCACCTGAGATCACCCCCAGTTTTTGGTGGGGTTCGTGCTGCTCAGTCTTTAGTTTTCTATGTTGTGTTTTGTGTACTATTGTTTGTCTGTTTGTCTTTTTCTTTTTTATCCATGGCGTTGTCAGTTTATTTTCGACTTATGAGTTTGAATCTCCCTCTGGTATTTTTCGCCTCTCTTTCGTTATACATTACGTTGTTATGTTACTAATGACACGATACTACAATAGACGGTTAACTATGAGGGTATCTTTGTTTGCCACATGACTTGTTTATTCTACTGATTAAACCATACAACTTTATCCGGTTAACCGTGATGACATCAATATCTCTTACAGGCCTGTGTAAGGCTCTGCTTTAAGTAAGTTCTACTTTTAAAACGAACACCCTTCCTAATATTTTTAGTTAAAAATAAAGTTACGATTTGCAAATTAAGAATAAAGTTCATATTAAAGAAAAATACTTTTCGGGCAAGTCAAATGAATGTAAACTTACCTCTATGGAGGTTTATTATGCTTTGTTTTGGTGTTTTCTCATTAAAGTAGACCTCTTTTATATGTCTTAAAAACGAGAATGATTAAAGCCATAAAGTACGGATATATTTATTTATTACATGTCAAGGCATGATGGTAAATTTAGCTTTATCAGATGAACATATAACCTGTACCATCGTAAGCAACGAATATAGTCCTTTTACTGAAATTTGAAGTGTGTGAGGGATATTGGTTAGAATTGACGACGTTATATTCCATCTTACCACAGTTTGCCTCATCTGTTCGGTCAAAACAATCGAAATTTCCATCACACTGTCGACTTGCGGGAATACACTGGTGGTTAGTACATCTGTACTCGTCAACACCACAATCAGGAAACACTAAAGAACATAGATCTTATATCTTTAGTACACAGCTATTTCAGTTAACAATGTTTACTATACAGCTTGTATATCAAATGCAATGAAGTCGGAAATTACTTTTTAACTGAAGTAAATGATCGTAATAATTTGCAAAAAATCATTAATTTGTCAGTGCAGCTTTGTTTGCCTTCTGAATAAAAAAAATATTTTGTGTAGGCGTGTTTAACTGTTAGACGAGGAAGTTTCCTGCAAATATATATTTACTATAAAACCTTCCTAAGACATATACTAGTCAACAAAAGTAACGATAGACAAGTTTGAACTCCAATTTATCATAAACTATAATGAATAGGAAAATCTGTTAAATTATCCAATGAAAAACATTTATTTGCAAAGCAAATGCATATGATTAAAAGAATCTGACCAAATTGGAAAGTGAGAAAATACCGTGTTATTGAGCTCAGGGGTCAAATTTATTTTGCGGAAAATGATGACAAAAGTCAGCACTTTATTTCGAAGATGAGAATTAAGTATTCAAATATCTGCAAAGGCATTCAAAATTTTAAGCAGACCATGTTTAATTTTAAAGTTTTAAGTTCTAATATCGACTTTTGATTTTTTGGGTGAAAATACGATTTTTGAAATACCAAAATTTGCAACAACAAAAAATTCTCGTATTTGCCTTAAATCGATGGTTTTGATAAGAAAATAACACTTTATAAATATTAGACCAATTGGGCAATTATTTACTTTGGTAAAGTGTATCCAATTTCATTATATAGGGAAAATACATTGCCTTGTATCGTTTCTTTTGTTGACTAGTATATAAATGTTAATGGAACGAAAGGGACAATTCATGACAAGGGTTGTAGCGTTGGGACACCATTGTTACGATACTACAAGACCACCGATCGCGATGTGGTTGAGGACACTTAAACTTACTGCACAACGTTACGGTAGCTTAATTTCTGAAACGATCCATTTTTGTCTACGCCTTGAACATAACTGTACTGATTTTTTTATCAATTAATATGACTGTACCAACGCAAATCATGCAGGCTTTTTATATAGAATTATTACAGTAATGCGACATTTCTAATTTATACGAAAATTAGAAATCGACATATTTTCTCTGAAAATTAAGTAAGTGTCTTTGTAATGTTGTTTGTGCTGTATTTAGACCCCTCTAACAAGAAATTTGTTTTGCATGCACACGTATAAAAATTGCGGTTTTTATCCAACGCAATCATAGGTTTGAACGTTGTTTTCAATTTAGACTTGTTGATATTTTTTCGTTTGGGCTTGTATTATATTTGCCTTCGGGTTTATATGATCCGTTCATCCTATTTTGACTCCTCAAAATTAAAGAGTCTATCCTAAATTGAGGTAAATTGAATGGCTTTCCAAATACTGTTTCGATTCCTAACATCACTGAAGAGACACTAATTGTCGAAACCCGGATATGGTGTACAAAAATCTTTGCACCTTTTGTTTGCGGTATATCATCCTTTCCGCAAGTTTATTGTTTACTGTTTAGTATTAAATTGATAATTAAGATCAATTTATTACTCGGTGATCCGTTTATTTGGCAATCGCCAATGGCAGTCAGCAGGGTTTAAGAACATTTGTTGTTCGACCTATTAGTCAAATGCGTTTTGTTAAAATATACTTTTTAAATTTTTTGGTCTTTTGGAAAATGTTGTTTGTGCTGTATTTAGACCCCTCTAACAAGAAATTTGTTTTGCATGCAAACGTATAAAAATTGCGGTTTTTATCCAACGCAATCATAGGTTTGAACGTTGTTTTCAATTTAGACTTGTTTATATATATATATATATACGTGTTATCCGATGGAGAATGTCTGTCATAAAGTTGTCACATGTTTAGACGTGTATAATAAAATTAAAATTTAATGTGGCGGCATGGTAATTAACATTATCATCTTTTACGACAGACAAAATAGCCGATCTGAGGTACACCATCTATTTGCCACATACATCATGTACTATGTTACAACCCTAGATAAAGTCGGCGAGGAAAGGAATTACGTCGACCACCGAAAGCTATATTTTTATGTAGCCTTGGTGTTCGAGTGGTATAAGGCGCTGGACATGGTGCAGGTGGTGTTACCACGATGTCACAGAAGCAAGGGTTCGAATCCCGCTGAGGGAAGAACAAAAATTTGCTAACGCAAATTTGAAGATCTAACATTGTTGGGCTAAATTTGAGACGAATTACTAGTATATGTATATTATGGTGTTAGCCATGTATAACCACGTGTTATCCGATGGAGAATGTCTGTCATAAAGATGTCACAGTTTTAGACGTGTATATATATGTATGAACGGTCATCGTAGCGACTACCAATGCAAGCCAGACCTCCCTCTCAGTCGACATTTGAGATCCCCTGGCCACACTAAGGCAGATCTCAATCGACTGACCATTGCAATCATTGACCACAACTCTGCTTGGTCTAGGGAGGATAGACTCACTCGGGAAAGATTTTGGATAAGAAAATTAACAACTTTGGCACCAAATGGGATAAATGAAAAGATGTAGTTCGACTCCATGCAGTGCTTCACATTTGGGTTATATTACTTATTATTACAGTCTCTGTTTCTATTTCTTTACTTTACTCATCTCTAAAATCAGTTGAATATACCAATTTAAATTGCTTAATTTTTTGAGGGATGTAAAAGTGCCAAGCCACGTTCAACAAGTTAACCTTAGTCAAAATTTATTATCATGTTTTAACGGCCGTTTGTTTGCGATGTTTAAATACGCAGACTCTGTTGTAACTACTCTACCGTTGTCAAATTTGAAATATTTACAAATTTAGATCGTTCAGTGGTGTTTATTTGGAATTCTTATTGACGCAATCGTTCTTGTAACATCATAACTGTCGCCACCGTTAAAGCTTTAGAATTGTGCTAGTTCATATCGCACATTATTATTTTTATTTAAAGCATATATTTGAACTCTCTGCTGTAATTAGTCATATAACCTATGTCGTGTTTAACACATATTTAGAATTGTGCAAGCGTCTTACCTGATGTTCGGTTTGACCTTTTTATTGTATAAATTTCAAGATTGTTATAGTTTAATTTAAGTAGACTGATATATGATTCATTCAACATCACAATCATATTTACTGATGAAGGATATCTGTTATCCGAAATATTTATAAATAATTACATTTATAGTTCCTTTTTTGTTATTGGTGTTGTTGTGTACACTTTTTAGGCGTTTATATAATTTATTTATTGTGTACATGTATCGTTACTCGTAACGATCCAGCGCCCTCGTGGGAAAAATCGTTGACTATTATTCAGACGTTTTATATATATATATATATATATCTGTGATCCGTTTATTTAGCAATCGCCATGGCAGTCAGCAGGGTTTAAGAACATCCGTTGTTCGACCTGCTAGTCAAATGCGTTTTGTTAAAATATACTTTTTCACTTTTTTGGTCTTTTGGAAAATGTTGTTTGTGCTGTATTTAGACCCCTCTACAAAAAAATTTGTTTTCCATGCACACGTATAAAAATTGCGGTTTTTATCCAACGCAATCATAGGTTTGAACGTTGTTTTCAATTTAGACTTGTTTATATATATATATATATATATAAGTACGTCTGAACCAGTGACGACTCTACAACAGATGTTATCCATCGGATCACCAGCAGTGATGGTGATACAAGGCTGAAATTACATTCTGACGAATTATATATATATATACAAGTCTAAATTGACAACAACGTTCAAACCTATGATTGCGTTGGATAAAACTTTATTATCCAAATGTATATTTATATTTATGCAAAATTAGTACACCATATCCGGATTTCGACAATTAATGTGTCTTCAGTGATGTTAGGAATTGAAACGGTATTTGGAAGGCCATATAATTTACCTCAATTTAAGATAGACTCTTGAATTTGAAAGAGTCGAAATAGGATGAACGGATCATATAAACCCGAAGGCAAATATAATACAAGCCCAAACGAAAAAATATAAACAAGTTTAAATTGATAACAACGTTTAAACCTATGATTGCTTTGGATAAAAACCGCAATTTTTATACGTGTGCATGCAAAACAAATTTCTTGGTAGAGGGGTATAAATACAGCACAAACAACATTTTCCAAAAGACCAAAAAAGTGAAAAGTATATTTTAACAAAACGCATTTGACTAGCAGGTTGAACAACGGATGTTCTTAAACCCTGCTGACTGCGATTGGCGATTGCCAAATAAACGGATCACAAGATATAACATAATGGATCTTAATTATTAATTTAATACAAAACAGAAAACAATAAACTATACAACCAAGTCTAAATTGAAAACAACGTTCAAACCTATGATTGCGTTGGATAAAAACCGTAATTTTTATACGTGTGCATGTAAAACAAATTTCTTGGTAGAGGGGTACAGCACAAACAACATTTTCCAAAAGACTAAAAAAGTGAAAAAGTATATTTTAACAAAACGCATATGACTAGCAGGTCGAACAACAGATGTTCTTAAAAACCATATATATATATATATATACATAACTACTCTAAATATCAGCACAACAATGTTTATACTGCAAATTTGCAGAAGCAATTTTTTGTTCTTCCCTCGCCGGGATTCGAACTAATGCTATTGGGATATCGAGACAACACATATGGTCTTTTAAATATTTTTTTTTAATAAAGCAAAAGGCTTAAAACTACTTGGCCGGTGTACATGAGCTGTTTTCCTTATTCCATTGATTAAGTACAAAGAAATAAAACTAATCTAAAACATTATAGTACTTTTCTGACGGATTGACTACGTTGCAGTATGTTAATTGTGTGAAATGCAAGGCTTGCTATAGGAAATCACCCTTATACATATCTATTGACAAATTTCTCAACAGTATTAAAGCTCAAATATTCGTATCAAATGAAGAAAAAAACACTATTAATTTTGTGCTTCCACAGCAAATATCAGGACACTCAAACAAATATTTCAGGCAAGGTTCAAACATATAAACATAGCAGTGAAACAATTTGAATCGAGCGAACATAAATCGTACGAGTCTGGTTCTAAATCTCAAGCGTAAATACTCCAGTACTTCTTTGCTCTTGACAAGACTTCTACAAATTACTTGATAAAACTAATTGTTTCGATATCAAGATAGAATCGTTACAACAAGAAAAACAGGTATCAATAGTCTAATCGATATATCCAAAGATCGGTGATAGTATCGTTGTCAAAGGCAACAGTTTAATCATCTCTTAAAACATATTTGTTTATCGGATAAAATGCGTACCGAACTTAGCAAAACGATAAGATTAATTTAGATCTACTAACTCTGCATCGATGCAACTAATAAAACCGTGTGCAGAATATTTGAATACCAAACGGTTGATACCCCGGGAACTAATACTAGGAACATAATGTTCACCAGTCAAGGAGGTTAAACATTTTATAGTGTGCGTATATTGATATGGTGTGTTGAATTTGCAATATGAACAGATAATTAATCCACGTTTGAATTTATAATTTTATCTCTATTCAAACTCACTGCATCCTTCTTCATCTTCTCCATTCAGGCAATCGTAAAAATAATTGCATGTTGCATTTTCAGGCCCGGAAGCTGGTAAACATCGGCCTTCCGGACATAAGAAGTATTTTTCTACATGTCGATCAGCTAGATATTTCAAGTCCGCGCACGTCTGGTTTGGCTTTACTGAAAGAATAATATGAACTGTCAGTATGCTATGGAAATGATGTTTTTAATGATGGATCAAATTGTAAATATAGAAATATGAATTTGATATATATTGACACTTTCTAAATTAAAAAGAATATAATTAAACAACAACAATCCTTCCTCACTTTAACTAAGCACATATATGATGATTAATGTCAGCACGATCCTCCGTATTTGCTAATTGTAGAGAAAACAATGTCCATTTGTTGGTTCTCTGTTTTCTTTTGACGTCATACTATAACATAATTACTATTTAGAACGAAAATAAAGAAAATATTAATTACCAAAAGAAAAAAAAAGGGAATATTTTTCAGCTAATTGTCATCCATTGTTAAGGAAACTATTAATCACTATTCCGAGTTTGTGTGCTTTTTCAGAAAACCGTTCAATTAGAGCTTTTAATCATACATCTGTTTGGAAAAATATTGGCTTCAACTTTCAAATACTTTTAACAAATGTTTATTTTAATATTCTGAATCTTTATCAGCAACATAAACTTATTCTTTTTGACAATGTTTTTGATAAATTTGTTTTAGAAGAAAATGAGTAAGATCAATCAAAGATGTTTTTCTTATCTGTTGCACGATTATAAAAGAGACAAGAATAGACACCGTTTTATATCACAGAAACGGAAGATGTCCTACACAATCATTTTATAAACTAATAGATCTATTTAAAATACAATAATGCTTTATTTAAAAATGCCCAATCACATACAAATGAGAAACAAAAGGTAAACATTTGTACCCGAAAAACATAAAAGAACAACTCTTAAATGGAATATGTAAATATTTGTCTAAATATGCAACAACAACAAAAAATAAAAAAATAAAAAAAATGGTGCACGTTTCAAAACTTTGTGGCAGCTCTTTTTGACATAAATATATATTTTACATTATAATATAAAAAAGAAGATGTGGTATGATTGCCAGTGAGACAACTCTCCACAAGAGACCAAATGTCACAGAAATTAACAACTATAGGTCACCGTAAGGCCTTCAACAATGAGTAAAACCCATACCGCATAGTCAGCATAAATATAAACATAAGGACAAAAAGTAAGAAGTCAAATTAGTTAGTCGAAAAAAAAAATTTAAAGTACAAAGACACCTTTGGTAAACCCTTTAAAGTACAAAGACACCTTTGGTAAACCATTTAATATACAAAGACACCTTTGGTAAACCCTTTAAAGAACAAAGACAACATTAGTAATCCCTTCGATATGCAAAAATATAAAGCTAATAACTTACAAAATTTAAGTAATAAGCTTGATTAGAAGAATATGTTTGTTTAAACTGTTTGTAATAAAATACAAAAAGAAAATTGCAAACATTTTATTAGTGTTATATGGGAACTTGTTTATTTGATCTAGAAGCAACTGTAACGTTATTTAAAGAAATCTTTCAGATCGAAATAATCAAATGCAAACATGAACTTCCTTCTTTCATTATTAGATGTGAAATGTTTATTTCTCGTCGATTTCAAGGATGGCTTCAAAGAAATTGGTACAATTACTGTTTATGAAATTAAGTTCGGTTCAAGGATAATGAACCTCATTTTTGTTTGAAAGTACGAATTGCTGACAAGATGAGATGCAACATAGATAAATGTATATCACCAAAGATGCTCACTAACATCAGTGAGACAGCAACCTACAAATAATAAAAATTATACAACAAGAGTTCACCATACGTTCATCCAAGACAAACAAGTATTTAAAGCATACGACAGGTTCTTAATTACACAGAGTACTTTAAATGATTGTAATGAATAAAACATTGTTGATCGTAGATCGGATCTAAAGTCATGAATCGAGGTTAATATGAAATAATACAAAGATAAAACATTAGGGGCTTACACAATGACATTGATTGTAAAAAACCGGGGATAAACAAAGTCCCAGACAACTGCAACAAATCTACAGAGATAAATATCAAATCGCCTATGTTCAAAGGAAAACAAAAGACCAGAGAACAATGAAAAACCAAGAATATAGCAAAATAATGGAGATACAGTATCGCGACTTTTGTCCAAAGATTATTGCAATAAAAAAAAAAAAAAAAATCATAAATAAAAAATCCAACACATAATAAAATCAACTAGGACAAGATCAATTCCAACCTGACACAGTTTTTTTATCGATTACGAGACAGCCACCAAGAATGCAGCATGTACAGTTCTCCTAGGGGTAGCAGTTGAGGGTCGTTTCTTCAACTTCATCCAATGTATTTTGAGAAAGGCACAGAAATGCGGACTTTAAACCTATTACAAGGAGAATGACGACATTACTAAACTAGATGGAAGAGCAGCACTACTACCACTCGTCCTACAGCAACAGGTTGAAGATGTTTGGCTCAACGCATTGGAAGAAATTGAAAAAGACAACGTCCCAGATTCTTATGGAACCACTGCCAGACTGAAGGAACCCGTACAACCAACCACATTGAAGGATGGCACAACAAAATAAAGAACCTGTACAACCTAATAGAAGTCGTACAGAAGACACATACCTTCACAGAAAGCACTATAATCATGTATGCTGCAGGAGGTGCCCGTCAACCAATCAGACGCAAGAACAGAGTTCTCAACACAAGACTACAGCTACTCAAAGACAGATACCGGCAAGGTCTACATAAAATAGATAGATTCATTTTGTGCAATACAAGGTTTTACAAGGAAGAGATTTTTGTACGTAAATATATAATTGACCCAAGGATTATAACAGAATTTCTCAATAGTCAAGAGAGTACAAGAATGCAGTAACATACTGCCGGACCACACTGAAAAACCATCTCCAGTCAATCAATTAACTTATTTCTGATTGCATCTGACAGATTCAATGTACCAAATTATATTATTATCATATTATTACTGCAAGATTACCACCACTAATAACAGCTGATTAATGACTCGTGTCAAGCATAGTACCAGCTTACATCCAGAACCTTTAATAACATAATTGAAGTCATAATTCTTTCTAATTTTATTTGCCGGAACATGAATAAAACATTTAAAGATTTAATTTATTATTACAACACTAGTTATAATACATTGTAGTTTTTTGTGGTAAGATATAACTGATAAGAAAGCAACTGCAATATGCGTTCGCCCACAATAACGTATGCACATTGCTAGTAATTCTATGTACAAGTCACTGACATAAATTCAAAACTACCTAATTGCTTGATTTTTTTATAAATAGTAAATGATGCTACCAAACTGACCAGAACTTTTTTTAGATAAAAAAAATAGAAGACGTCGGCGTATGAATTTTGTTTAGGAAGCGATTCACAAGGTTAGTTGATGAACAAGACTATTCAAAGCAACAACACGGATGTAAGTACAAGCAGGGAGAGGTTTATACGGGCACGTCCCACAAAACACCACACAAAACACTAAAGAACACCGACAAAAATGTTTAGAAAAAAACATTTGAATACGTCAAATTTCTAATTCTTAGTTTCTAACTGATAACGTCAACCTTCATAGCATTTGATCAAATAAGCGAGTGACAACAATCAATAATAGACACGCGAATAAGCCATACATTGGTAAAACGAGTATTTAAATGTTCAATCCCCTTAAAATGGAACAAATTTATTATGTTAAAGATTCTAACAAGAATTATTCACCTCAAAAGGTCAGTAACCTTCCAGTGTTTCAAATTAAAGATAAGATTTTTTACACAATGTCCTGCTTTTTGGACAATTTTTGTTGTTGTTACAGCTGCCAAGGCTTTTGATTATGTCATATTGATGTGAAAGCAGCACGATAAATGCTTGTTCAATGAAGTTTCGAAATTGAAAGAATCCCTAACACAAATGGAATGTATACTTTAATATAAATGGGAATTATAGCCTGAAATATTGTATAGACACAGAGCTGTCTACATGTAACGTTGAGGACCGTATGCTAACCTATAGATGTTTTGTTTTCTTTGGGTTGCTACCTTATTAACATCTACCCCACATCTACAATCATATCTAAAATCAAATAACATTTTATCTTCATTTTGCAAATTTTCAATGAAGACAACAGTAACTAAATTATTTTTAATAGGTGTCAATAGGTGTAGAAATAACAGAATTGACATTTAATCTACACATTATGTCAAGGTATATTAAATATTTTGAAAAGTATCTAAAAAGACTTCGTACATCTTTGTTGTTGCTTTAAATATGTTTCGATTGTGTTCTTTCCTCTATCTAAATTCCTTTTTGATTATCCCCTTTTAAACAGATGATTTGGTATTTTCTGCTTGTTATTGTCTCACTGTATAAATACCGGACTTTTTTTATACTAAACGTTAAAAACGCTATATACAACTGAAAATTTGTTTACAAAAGATGTAGCAATTACCCGGTCAAAAATTAATGTGCTTGTTCTGAATTTGTAAACCCCAGTGTTTGTTATTGTTTTTACCTTAGGGATTTTTATTATTTAATGAATGTATTGTTGTTGGCTGTCAGATATTTGGCACTCACTGTTAAATGTATTCATAACATTCTCAGTCTCTAACCATTTACAGCATTTGGTATACTCACGTTTTGCATGTTGGTATTGAAACTCCCTCAGACAAAAGTATAAATAAAGCCCTGTCGGAACTCCTAACATTTTATGTATTTAGCTTCGAAAACGTTAGTACTCGAGTATATCTAATTGAAGGAATTCTAGAGATGCCTTTTGAGATTCAAATAAATACAATTGCTTAAGTAATTCCATATGTCGGTAGTAAAGGACTAACACACTTGAGCTAGACAACAGTTAGGATGTAATATTAAGCCGGTGTCGACTGCATATCATGATGTATTTCACAGTCAAATTTGCTGATAACGTATTTGGACAAAATTGCGAAAAGAAGAGAGAAGATACTTAAAGGGCAATCAAAAACCATTGAAGAAGTAAACAGATAAAATAAAATGGCTACAAAAACAGACATACAACAGTTCCCATAACACTACACAGAAAACTGAAAGTTAAACAACAGGAAGCCAATCGAACAACGGGATGAACTCATGTGTTTCCGAAAAATTAAGAGTTCCTGTTCGATGAGTGACACCCGTCGTGTTATTTGCGCTAAAATTCGTTGATGAATCTTATCCATTAATAAGACATCATGCAGTAACGGATGACATTTATCTGCCAATACTGTCTAAGAAAAAAAAATTCAAAGGGCTTTGGGTTGAACTATAAAATATTTGAAACTTAGGAAACTGGAGAAACATGTTCCAAATGATACTTACAACAAAGAAATTCGTCAAAACCTCCTTCAGCATTCCAACAATCATTCCTTCCATCGCAAAGGTATTTTCTGTCGATACACCGAATAGTTGTTGTATGTTGAAATCTACATGAATATTTTTCCCCAACAGTACATGAATAGTTATCTGGAAGAAATCAAACACAGTGTGAAAATTTAAATAGTATTTCGTAATTAAGTTTCCTTCGATTTAAAAAGTGTAAATGCAGAAAAAAAAATTTTTTTTCTACTTACTTGACTTACAAATGGTATTGACACCCTTTTTATAAACATGATAAATGAAAGATTATCCTATAAAATTTGTATAAACATTTTTTCTAAACTTTAGAAAAGGAAAGAAGGAAATTTTCTTTTTCTATTTACACTTGTAAGCCAATGGTAATACTGCGGCAGAATCATATTCAGTAAACCATTTACTTAGGATGATTCATTCCTAAGTCATTTTTTCTGACACTTTGAGGACTGTTCTGCCAACTAAACTGTAGAGTCGAACATGTAATGAGTAATCTGTGTTGTTGATGTATACATTCGGACTGCTATATAATGAAAAAGAAATAAAACTGACTGCGTAGTACTATTGTAGTTTTGAAGACAGAAAACAGCCATATAAAGGAGAGATAATAGAAGATGTTTTCTTCTACATGCTTATAGATATTTATTGATAATAGTATTGTACCACCCCCACACAAACAATAAAAACAATAACAAATCCGTCTTTTTAAACCATTTCACAGTTTTCAGAAATGTTAATCAAACGTTACAAATAATACTGAATGCTGATATTCGGATATTACACGAAGGATTCAATTCAATAAATTCAAATGGTGAATGTAATATAATTTACAAATAGATAATATACTCCTTTGTATCGATCTGATGAGTAAAGCCTTTGCATCGATATGATGAGTAAAGCCTTTGCATCGATCTAATGAGTAAAGCCTTTGTATCGATCTGATGAGTAAAGTCTTTTTATCGATCTGATGAGTAAAGCCTTTGTATCGATCTGATGAGTAAAGTCTTTGTATCGATCTGATGAGTAAAGTCTTTGCCAACTGATTTGTTTCGAATTGATTCACTGTTGCACCACTAGATTAAGCGAGGGCTGAACGCACAAACACATGTTTTACTCCTCCACATTGTTTACATATAAAAATAAGGAGAAGTGGTATGATTGCCAATAAGACAACTATCCACCAAAGTTCATGTCTGTCCCAAGTTAGTGGTTGTCGTTGAAAGCTGTCTGCCTAATTTGTATTTCATTTGTTGTTTAAGAATAAGTCATGCTGTAGTTTTCTCTTTGAATAGTTTCGCATTTTGTCACGCTGGGGTCTTTTATAGTTTTTTTTCAATCTGTGGTTTTAGTTCAATGTTAAAGGCCGTACAGTACCCTTTAGTTAATTACATCTCCGTCGTGTTGGTCTATGGTGGATAGCTGTTTCATTGGCAATCTAACCATTTTTCTATACTTTTCTATTGTTATTGATTTCTCTGATTTTCTTATCCACATGTTGCTTATTTCTAATGAAAGATATTTTTGTGACATTTCCAATAACATCTGTCAATGCTAGGTTAATACCCGATGAATAAGTAATTCGAGGGAAATTAGCTCTATTTCTTAAACTGACCTAAATGATAAATGCATGTCAAGATCGACTACATACTGCTTTCACATGGACCATCATTTTTCAAATTGTCCTTTGACATTTTAATCTAAATGCATGCAGATATATAGTTTCACAACGTTTGTCTTGTCGTACAATAACAAAAGACATGTTCTCAAAGAACAACAGAAACATTTGTTTGTTTGTCTTGTTTTTTGCCATGCCGTTTTCAGATTGTTTTCGACTTATGAGTTTGAATGTACATTAGGTGTCTTTCGCCTCTTTTTTACAGCATTATTTCATATGTGATTTGCTAGACAATTAAAAACAGATATTACATTAATATTTCAGAATTGGCACGACAATGGCAAACAGGAGTTGTGAGGGTGACTGGCTAGACCATTGCAAACACGGATTGCATCAATATTTCATATATATATATATATATATATCCATCCATTGGATCACCAGTTAAGGTGATACACGGCTGAAAACACATATTATATTCATAACTACTCTAAATATCAGCACAACAATGTTAAATCTGCAAATTTACAGAAGCAAATTTTTGTTCTTCCCTCGTCGGGATTCGAACTCATACTATTGAGATATCGAGAGAACACCGCCTGCACTGTGTCCAGCGCTCTAGACCACTCGGCCACCTAGACTGAACTTATAATTCAGCTTTCGGTGGCCTAGTATTACCTTTCCTCGTCAGTAGAATCTAGAGTTGAAACACAGTACATGATATATAAGCCTTGAAGATGAAATTGATTGCAGATTGGCTAATTTTTCTATCGTAAAGGATCGTACGATACAGTCACAGAAATAATTAATATATAATTCGTCTCTAATTTAGCCAAACAATGTTATATCTTCAAATTTCCGTTAGCAAATGTTTTGTTCTTCCCTCAGCGGGATTCGAACCCTTGCGTCTGTGACATCGTGGCAACACCGCCTGCATCGTTTCAAGCGCCCTAGACCACTCGACCACATAGGCTGCATAAAAATACAGCTTTCGGTGGTCGATGTAATTTCTCGACTCGTCGGATTTATCTGAGTTGTAACACAGTACATGATGTATGTAGCAAGCAGATGGTGTAACTTTCAGATCAGCTATTTTGTCTGTCGTAAAGGATGATAATATGAATTACCATGCCGCCTCATCAAATTTTAATTTTATTATACACGTCTAAACATGTGACAACTATATGACAGACATTCTCCATATACAGGAGCTAACACCATATATATATATATATCTGTTTAGTATTAAATTTATAATTAAAATCCATTTATTACATCGGTGATCCGTTTATTTGGCAATCGCCAAAGGCAGTCAGCAGGGTTGAAGAACATTTGTTGTTCGACCTGTTAGTCAAATGCGTTTTGTTAAAATATACTTTTTCACATTTTTGGTCTTTTGGAAAATGTTGTTTGTGCTGTTTTTAGACCCCTCTAACAAGAAATTTGTTTTGCATGCACACGTATAAAATTGCGGTTTTTATCCAAAGCAATCATAGGTTTGAACGTTGTTTTCAATTTAGACTTGTTTATATTTTTTCGTTTGGGCTTGTATTATATTTGCCTTCGGGTTTATATGATCCGTTCATCCTATTTTGACTCCTTAAAATTCAAGAGTCTATCCTAAATTGAGTTAAATTGTATGGCTTTCCAAATACCGTTTCGATTCCTAACATCACTGAAGAGACATTTATTGTCGAAATCCGGATATGGTGTACAAAAACCTTTGCACCTTTTGTTTGCGGTATACCATCTTTTCCGCAAGTTTATTGTTTTCTGTTTAGTATTAAATTTATAATTAAGATCCATTTATTACATCGGTGATCCGTTTATTTGGCAATCGCCAATGGCAGTCAGCAGGGTTTAAGAACATTTGTTGTTCGACCTGTAAGTCAAATGCGTTTTGTTAAAATATACTTTTTCACTTTTTTGGTCTTTTGGAAAATGTTGTTTGTGCTGTTTTAGACCCCTCTAACAAGAAATTTGTTTTGCATGCACACGTATAAAAATTGCGGTTTTTATCCAACGCAATCATAGGTTTGAACGTTGTTTTCAATTTAGACTTGTTTATATATATATTTATATATAATTCGTCTCAAATTTAGCCTAACAATGTCAGATATTCACGCAAATTTTTTGTTCTTCCTTCAGAGGGATTCGAACCCTTGCTCTATATAATATATAAGTCTAAAGATTTGCACAACGGTACTAGTACCGTTGTGCAAATCTTTAGACTTATACATGTTTTTCCTTATCTGCGCAGTATCGTCTTTTATAGACGATTCGGTACATACTAAATTTGCTGGTTGGTCCTTTTTATAGACTTCTATATATATATGTTCCGGACAATATGAGTATTTGGACCATACGCTTATGGTCATGATCATCTGCATATATACTCATATACGCGTATGGTCCGGGTAATTGACACGATGAACGTTGAAAAAGTGTCACGTAAATTAAGAGTTTCTAAAAATGAAATTTTGACTTATTCAATCATATTCATGATTAATCTAATAGAGTGAATATTACTTTAAAGTAAGAATTATAGTAAAATAATTTTAACATGGTCATGATTCATTTGTCCATACGAAACGCAATATGTCGACTTTGGAAAATTACTTTAAGAAATATCTAAATGAACTGTTAAACAATAAGTAAATTGCTTAACTCACAGGCACTTTGGTCATTGAACCCTCTTTCTTTTCTTTTTAAATTTCTTTTGGTGTTTAAATTTGTTTTTATTAAATTATAATTTCTTCAAAATTTCTTATTGTTTTTAGTAAATTTGTTCATGTGTTCTTGCTCCTATTCATACGATCTTACAATGACAGTAAGATCGTATGAATAAGAGCAAGAACACATCAATTTAATGAAAATAATTAGAAATAAGAAGAAATTTTGTTTTCGAAATAATTATTAAAACACTAAGAAAACAGAAAAAAATGCATGCCCCAAACGCATGTGGTTTCACTTACGGATGAATACCGGTAGTATAAAGGCGATTTGAATTGACTTTTAGCGAATGCAAGATAACAGATACACCAAGATTTAGACAATATGTAAAAGATAAAAGAATTCAGATAGTAACATTTCCCGTTTTTTGTTCAGAGAATGAGCTGTGTGTTCTTCCAAAGAGAGATAGAATTATTCGAAAAATACCTATATGGCCTAAATACTCGTATGGTCCGGCCCGTTAATAAGCAAACGAGTATAATACTTATATGCTCCGACCATACGCGTATGGTCGGACCATATGAGTATACGCATATGGTCATGACCATACGCGTATGGTCCAAATACTCATATGGTCCGGAACATATATATATCATTTTTCTGCACCAGGTGCGCATTTCGACAATAAATGTCTCTTCGGTGATGCTCGAGGCCAAAATATTTGAAAAATCCAAAACTTATAATAAAAATGAAGAGCTACCTAAAAGGACAAAAAGGGTATAGCCAAAGCTAGGGAAGGAATCAGAGCTTTGCATGACGGAAATAT